AGCGTTCATGACAATGACGACGGATCCGACGATACAGAGAAAGCAGGCAACCTTGCCAACCATGCTAAGACGCTCCTTGAGGAAGATGGCGGACAGGACGGCGCAAATAACGACCGACAGTGCACCGAGGGGCGTGACGAGGATGGCATCCGTGAAGAGGTATGCGGCAAAGTTGCAGATCTCCCCAATGATCATGAGGGTCATGCCTCCCCACCAGTAGGCGTTCTTGAGGTAGCCATATCCTTCGCCGGGGGTTTCATTGTACTTTTCGTTTGCGCGCAGCAGGCCGAACTTTTTGAGGACGAACGAGACACCGATGAAGATACCAGAGGCGACGGCGAGAGCGATACCGATGAATTTGTAGACGGGGGGCTTTTCGTCGTCGCTGCTCGATGCTCCTCCGCTTCGCTCGTAGAGATCAAAGTCCATTGCGGGAATGGACTCGTCAAAGGATGAGGAAGGGGAGGGAGAGGAGGAGGAGGGAGGAGAGTCGGGGCCGAGATTGGGTTAGGACCACATGTGCGACGGCGAAAGCTTAGATCGGTTGCGGGAGCGACGAACGAGGACTCGGAATAGGACAAGTCGTAGGGAGCTTAGGTTAGGCTAGGTTTTGAAAAGTATATAGTGAGAAGGGGTATGTAACGAAGAGAGAATCAAGGTGAAGCGCAAGAAGCAGCAAAAACAAGATACGTAGTTGGATACAGAACAGAGGAGAGGAGACTCGGAGGCAGGATCTGGAAAGAAACCTGGAAACGTCGTCGCACCCAACCCCAGCTTGTGATGAACGGATGGGTGGGCGCTCCTGAGACACGGAAGGGTGCTAAACAAGCGTGGGAGGCGGAATGTACAGGTACTTCTCGTCTTCTTACGCCCCCAAGCTCGCAACCACAGGGGGCTCCTTTAGGCGCTGTCTGCCCAGGCCAGGCCCGGCCCCGCCGCCAGCTCCAGGCCCTGTACCGTTCCGCCGGGCGGAGGAGATCTTAGCGCCTGCATTGGTTCGGCGTGAAAGGTGCCATTGACAGCCCGAACCCGAACAAGAGGCGCCCAGGGAGCAGGGAGTCTTGGAGGTCCGACTCTGTTGAGCGGGGCAGTAGCTATTGCGGATGGTTTCACCGAAATGCCGAATCCATCAAGATTGCTTGCCAGGCCAGGCCAGGCCAGTTCAATTCAACCCCATTGGATCCATCGTGTCGCCTGCGCAACGGGTGTCCCCCCCTCTTGTCAGCAGATGAGGATTGCTTATGGGCGTAAGCCCCCCATGCATACAGCCTGATCAAGCTGTAAAACGACCGTATGTTGGCCGAATGGGCGTTGTCCTGCCTGAGTCGAGATGTTGGCGGAATCGTGTGTTAGGGTCTACCTCGATCAAATCCTCTACCTGCCCAACATGGCAAGCTCCCAGCGCCGTTGTCAAAAAAATCTACATGTACCTGTACATGTTCCTCCGCCACTTACACTACGTACCAGCAATGACGACGAATCCACCTCTTCCATGGAAGATCCCGATTCAATTTGAAAGCATTGCCCATCTTGTGAACCAAACACTTTCCTTTTCATCTTGTTCCTTGAAACAAAAGACACAATAATATTCTGTCTTGGTATCGAGGTTGCCTTTTGGCTGTCCGTTTGATTCCTCCCATGTGCGGCGAGGCATAATTCACACACTTGCAGCTGCATGCTTGAGGCTGTACACTTTGAACGCCTGCAGGACCAGCTGAACATGAATGTCTTTAGCCAAAAAAGATGGTGGCTGAATAGGCCAACGCGGACGGGACCCTTCCTTGGCCAAGCACACACAAGCAACGTGGGGGCTGTGCTACCTCGATCTAGACTATCACTGCGCCGTCTCTTTGTGTGTGTGTTACCGGCCGATACTGGACAACTCTGCGAAAGCTTCTCCTCCGAATTCCATAGGAGGTTGGACAGATGATAAATCTGATGGAGCGGAACATTGTCAATCTTCCGCTCCCCGAAACATCCGGTAGACTTGCCAACCAGATTTTGCGTTGCAACTCTACATGTGGATGACGATTCCCCCCCCCCCCCCCCCTGCCTGCTGCTATTTCTGTCAATTGTGGGTGTGCATTGCCCTGCTCCGCGCGACTCAGAGCGTCTCGCCTCCACGCACACCCAACACGCATGGTGTTTCAGAGCATGTCTCTGCGGCCGATTCGAAAGAGATCAATGAGAGGGCAAAGCTTAATTCCTGAGTGGGGACGGAACCTATCACCTTGGCATTTGGGCAAGACACGTTGATCCAAACACAGTTGCTGTCGATGTTGTTGATGTGAATTTTGGGTATCACTGGATTCTTGGCCAATGCTCAACTCTATTCGTTGCCTAGCCAATCTTGATAATTTGGCCAATTATTGTAATTTGTGTAACAGTCAATCAAACATGGTAAATGTCACATTCACGATAGCCGATGGCAACGGTTAACCGCCAGCCTGATTTGATGCAACCTTGAGGCTTGCATCTGCATGGCGTTCAGGCAACAGGACAGGACGGGACGGGACAAACTAGATTATAGATAAATTCAAAAAAGATTCCGCTAATGCAATGCCGTGGTTGATGTCCGTTTCCGTTACATGTGGGTATCTCGATCTCATGTATGCTCATAATCCATCCTGACCATTCCATCCCAACATATATCCCTTCTCTTACCAGATCAATTTGCGCTGCTGTCCATCGAAATCACCTCGTCCAGCCACTTTCGTACCCTCTCGTTCAACGGGACCTTTGTCTTCTCGTCAACCTCCTTGATCAGACTGGCCTTGAGGTTTCCCCTTGGCTTCTCCCTCACAGGTGCCGGTGCAGGTGCAGCAACTCTCCTGGCAGCTGGCTTAGGTTCGGCTTTCTCCCTCACAGGCGCAGGCACCGTTCTCGTGGTCACCCTCGGCTGCGGCTTCACCTCTGCCTTCTTCTCTGGTGCCTTTATCGGGGTCTTGAACGGATCCGGTGGTATGGCCCTATGCGTGATGCGTTGAACTCTACCCCAAAAGATCATATGCTTTTCCGACGGAGTACCAATGTTATATCGGACCGCATCACGCGGGTTCGCCAGAGTCACGTAAAAGACAATGTTGAACTCGTCATCCGATGCCATCTTGGAGTACCGGATGCCCATATCAAAGACGGCCTTGGCGACATCCAGAGCGCCGAGCTTATCGCAATCCAGCTCCTCGAGAAATGTCTGCGCGACAGGGCGAGCGTACGTGATCGGGGCCTTGCGGAGTGCAGCCTGAAGTACCGGGTGTCGGTGTGAATTGTCAGCACTCCCCATCGATGTCGGCATCCAGTTCTTCGCCTCTGGCGGGGTCGCTGGTCGTTTGATCTCTGGTTGGGGTGGGGGTTGGGGGTGCGCGGCGGGCGTAGGGTCTATCCGCTGTCGCTTCTGAGGAACTGGAATTTGCGCATCGTTGCGAGGAAGAGTCCTTTTCCTGCCAGCAGGTTGAGGTTGTTCTACCGAGGAGGGGTCCTCTTCCTCTTCTTCCTCGTCTTCTTCGTAGTATTCATACGACGTTTCGTACTAGGGTTCATTAGTCCGAGGGTCGTCGGGGGTCTTGACGTTGGTTCTTCCATACACTGTTGGAAGAGTCTTCTTCTTCTTCTCTGGTCTTTGCAAGTAGAAGGGTCGCAAGGGCCGCCAGCTCATGCCTCTGCTCGATGAGTATCTCTTCGTGGATGATTTCTCTGATGACAGCCTCGCGGAACTGCTGTTGCATAGCCATATTCGCTGGACCTGGCTGGGAGCCACGCAGGTGCGAGTTCATGCTCAAGACAGAGGATGGCGATGTTTCCGGAGGGAACCCGGAGGAGGATGTCAGCTCTGACGCTGTCTTTATCAGCTCATGGACTTGCCGTCATTTTTATTCCTTTGCCCGAGGCCGACAAGCCCGAGGTGCCAGCAGACCGAAATGTGGAGAGCGGCTGGACCGTGACCAATCATGACGTCTTGCGACGGATAAGAGGCCCGTCTAGAATCCTGGGCACGACAGAGGGCTTCTTGGAGATACTTCGTTTTTCGTATCGATAGAGGCCGAGACCCATCGGATTCGCATTCTCCGGTACGGATACCGTCTTCCATCGGATCTTATGGATGCCGATATCATTTCCCAGACAGTAAGGTATCCACATTTTAGGCTCTGTTTCCCATGCCCAACTTTGGCCTGGACTCTGCAAGATTCAAAAGTGGCTTCCGAACCAGGGACAGGGTCCTTCGGGGTTTAACTATACCGTACCGCCGACTGAGCATATCTGACAAGAACTACGGGATCTGAAATGTTGAAAGGCTCGCTAGATGCTCCAAAGGTCAGCCACAGTTGAGAGGTCATCCTGCCAAGGCGTAGAGTGCCAATTGAAGGGCAGAGGTCAGATTTTGTGAGACGCTGTGCTTGGCGGATTTGCTGATTCGATCTGCACAACTCAAGCAGCGTCTCACACAGCCGTATTACCCTCCCGAGCATAGGAAGCCAGTAATACTCGTTTTCAAAAGGTCTTTGTTTAAAGAGACTGAGCCTTTGTGTATGCCTCAATTAGGTGTCATCGATCCAGTCGAGTAGTGTACCTGGTCAGCAGTGACAACCTACAGTTGAAACATACATACATCAAGAGGCTTTACAGAGCCTTGTTTATTTACGTAGAAGACACCGGGCTGCCGAGTTATATAAAGAAAATAAGCGCCTACAGGTCTTACATATGGCCATCTGAAGACAGCCTGCTTGTACCAAGTGAGCTGAAAATCCGTGCCGAGGATCGACAATTCTTTTAAATGCTGTCCCCTATGCAGGAGGTTTCATGATTTCAAGTTATACCAAATGTCTTCGCTTCTCATTCTTCCCTTGTTCCCAAATTGGGCGCTGCCTTATAGTTTCGTTCTTTGATACCATCGTCTATTGGAATCGCGGCAGAACTGCTGTACGACACTCCCTTAACCAACTTGTACAACACTCGTTTAACCAACTTGTACAACATTTTTTTTAAGAGAAAAACTCTCCATAATGGCACATTCAAATGCTGCTGAGCTTGCCAAGGCTGTTCCCGAATGCGTGAGCGGGTGCTTCAACATTGGTGTTGCTGCAACTGGCTGTGGAGAGGACGACTTTGACTGCTGGTGTTACGATAAGAATCATGAGACTATCGTCGACACAATGAGCGAATGTCTGGGTAACCGCGAGAGGAAATTGAAAGAATCATGCAGTAAAGATGAAATGTTTCGTATGTCCCATTCCCCCGTGTGAGGCAGAGTTGCTTATACATATGCCAGAGATGGAGAATAGCTACTGGAAGATCTGCGAACAGTACTGGGAAACCTATGGGACTGCTACCGAGCCAACGACGAAATCAACATCAGTTCCAAAGTCGTCGTTGACTTCATCGCGAGTCTCATCAATCACCTCCACTGCCGAACTACCACAGGATACCACGAAGCAATCCGAAAGCGAAAATTCAGATACTTCAAGAGACGCGGACGCTGCATCTACTAAAACTAGAGGACTATCAATAGGAGCACAGGCGGGAATCGGCATCGGCATCACATTGGGGGCAATTCTGATCGCCGTCGCTATCTCACTGTGGCTAGGAGAGAGGAAGCGACGACAGAAGCTTCAAGATGAACTCCAAAACGCTAAAAAGCGAAAATTTTCGGACGATGGTTTCTTGATATACGAGAGAGAAGGAGTTTACGAAATGGAGGGTGACCTACAACATTGCGCCGAGTTACGCGGATGCATGAGAACACCAGAGCTACCGGCTCCGACTTGGAGGAGGAGAGGCGAAGAGTCTATGAGCACCTACCAAAGGGGAAGCGAGCAGTCAAACCCATCTTCTGAAAGCTCTGCATGGCCGCAGCCGTTGGCAATTCGTTCGTGTAAGAGACCCGAGAAAGGGGCACGCCCCATGTCATGGGTTCGCGGAGCGTCCAGAGGGCATCTCAATGTGATAAAGCAGGATACCCCAATTGGCAATTTCTTTTAACTAGCTCTTTAATCGAATGAAGAACGGACGAAAAGGAAGTTATATGGTACTGTAAACCAGAATTTTGACACCGTTTGTCAGTGTTGAGAGTCAAACCACCAAGCCAAACGGATTGGCTTCAATCCTCTACAATATAAAACCGGCACAGAGGATGATAATGGAACAATTCGGTAATTCATTCTCAGGATGACAATGGGGGACTATCCAGACGAACGAGATGCATCGCTTCAGCGTCAAACGGCCGAACCCCCAATATAAGAGCGAGCTCATGGTGATGGCTTCATCAGAACATCTTCAACTCATCACCATCATCAATTCGACTCACCTCAGCAACAAGATGGCTAGCCCTACTGTCGAAGACATCGCGAAGCAGATCCGAGCCAAGGACCCGGCCTCGGCTGTCGTCCTTGAGGTGAGCACCAGCCTGTACATCAACACTACTTGATCATGCTGACTCTTTGATAGCGCTACATCGCCGAGACCGACCATCTGAAGAACACCGTTCAGGCCATCGTCGAGGACATTGGTTACTGCATGACGGAACTCGACCTACGTGAGGGCCGGTCCGAGGGACTGCGCCGATGCACCACTGATCTGTCTCGCTCTGTTGTAAGTTATGTCTGTTGACTTGTGATAATACCAAGCTAACAGAGACTAGGAGGAGCACACCAAGGTCACCGATTCCGCCTACGAACGCAACTTTCGTCCCCGTTTCACCTGCAAGATCGTGAGCTTCAAGTGCGTCAACGCGACTAAGAAGGCCGACCAGGAAGAAGAAGCCCAGATGGAATTGGTCGTTCAGTTCCCGGCTGCTGAGTACAGCGAGTCTCCTCACGCTCTGATTCCTGGCCAAGCCAAGATCTACATCATGATGAAGGAGGAGCTTTAAGTTGGAGGTTACAGGGTCAGTAGCTGGACGTGTAGCATTCTGGTGGTTCTCGAGAGCTTGGGTGAAAGATGCAACAGCATTGGCAGGCTTAGTCCAAGGAATGATTAGGACAACCACAGACTACACCAAGTGATTAACAATCAAGACAACTCAAGTTGACATTGTAGCTTCCAAGTGACGTGGGTGCGATATTTGTAGCATAGTGCATAGACACTGTGCGGAGACTGTGCTCCTGCCATCCGGGAAATCAACCATTCAGAGGCGACAATTTGTCGGCGCCTTTTTGAAGCTTCACCCGAAACCAACTCCCGCGCGTCGTTGAGAATCCATTGGGAGCTGGCCCGGCCCAGCATCACCTCCCAGCCATGTCCGCCGCTCTCCTACGATCACGAATCGCCGCCTCGGGCGCCCGGGCTCCCTCGGTGCGCGCCGCCCTGCCCCGGAAGCCCGTCGTCCAGCGCCGTTATGCCTCTACTGAAGCCGGTGACGGAGGAGACGTGCTCAAGGCCGTCCTCTACGGCACTGCCGCCGCCGCCGCCCTCTACGGCTCGTACCTATATGCCACAGATACCCGGGCCTTCTTCCACCGATGGGTCGTTCCCCCCGTGCTGCGTTGGGTGTATCCCGATGCTGAGGACGCCCACCATGCTGGTACCACTTCACTCAAGATGCTCTACGAGCTGAACCTCAACCCCCGCGAGCGCGACACGACACTCAATTCCCCCGAGCTCTCCGTCTCCGTGTTCGGCACCGATGTGCAGAACCCAATTGGCATCTCAGCCGGCCTCGACAAGGATGCCGAGATTCCTGATGCGTTGTTTGACCTGGGTGCCGGCATCGTCGAGGTTGGCGGTTGCACCCCACTCCCCCAGGAGGGCAACCCCAAGCCCCGTGTCTTCCGTGTTCCTAAGCTCGACGGCATGGTCAACCGATACGGCCTGAACTCTCGTGGTGCGGACGACATGGCTATCCGACTGCGGGACCGACTTCGACGATACGCCCGATCCATTGGTGTCACCGAGAAGGAAGTCCTGAACGGCGAGGCCAACGTTCCCCCCGGCAGCTTGCGAGAGGGTCGGCTTTTGGCTGTCCAGATCGCCAAGAACAAGGAGACAGATGAGCGAGATGAGAGGGCTGTGGCTGACGACTACGTCTACTGCGTGCGAAGACTAGCCCGCTACGCTGATGTGTTGGTCGTCAACGTCAGCAGCCCCAACACCCCAGGTCTGCGAGAGCTTCAGGCTACCGAGCCCCTTACACGACTCTTGACTGCTGTCGTCGAGGAGGCTGCCAAGACTGATCGAAAGCAACGACCCAAGGTCATGGTCAAGGTCTCGCCTGATGAGGATGAGGATTCTCAGATGGAGGGCATCGTGCAGGCTGTTCAGCTGAGCGGCGTTGACGGAGTCATTGTTGGCAACACCACCAAGCGAAGAACTGGAGTCATCCCCGAGGGTGTCAAGCTCACTGCCAAGGAGCAGACTGCCCTCATGGAGACGGGCGGTTACTCAGGCCCTGCCATGTACAGCCGAACGCTCGACCTTGTAGGGCGATACCGCAAGATGCTGGACTCTCAGTCCTTCAAGGCTGCGGGCGGCGCCCAGAAGGTCATCTTTGCCACGGGAGGCATCACCAACGGCGAGCAGGCGCAAAAGATCCTCAACGCCGGCGCCAGTGTGGCCATGATCTACACGGGGATGACTTATGGTGGAGCGGGCACTGTGACGAGGATCAAGAAGGAGTTAAAAGAACGGGTGTAGAGGAACTAGACCAAGCTATAGCAACATTTTCACGTTTTCTTTGTTGAATCAAAAATGGGATGATATGGATATTGAAAGAAATATCAGAGTCAATTTTTCTGTGGTTACACTCTGCTGTCTACTCGAGATGTTAGCAATACAACTAGGAGGAGTCACTCACCTTATCTTGGCCACTTTGCCGAAGGAGGTTGGAAGTGTAGTCGTCCTAGATAAGGTGTCAGTATCTCTCACAAACGTCAAAGGGGAAAACAAAGCCCAAAAGTATTTTACAAAGGAGAGAGTTGTACTCGATCTCCTCACTTGTCATCTTGGAGAGTGTCCCAGATACTGGCGTGGAGTTCGGTGAGTCTCTCACCCACACTCAGAACCTCGGACAGAGCACTATCCATGTTCTCCTCCGTCGCCTCCTTCCTAGCCTTCTTCACAGCTTCGACAACCAGCGTAATGTGGTCCACAATGGAGCCCACATTCTCATGGATGGCCCCGAGGTCACGGCGGGCTGCTTGAAGGGCTCGCTCAACCTCTTCGCGACGAAGGATCTCCTCGTGGATGCTCGGCTCAGGCTGCTGGCTTAACTCGCGAGTCGTCTGCGTCTGTTCGTCAAATCGACGGCCAAGCCGCTGACGGCGCCGTTCTTCAAGGTTAACCTGCGTGTTGTTAGTCGAGGCTCTCGACGATGAAGAAGGAGTGAAAATGAGTCCCGGAGAGCTATCAGTCTGGCGGGAGGGGAGGCTTGGAGCTGCTCCCTCATCTTCAGAAGGAGGATAAGTCGATCTGAGGTAGTAGTTGTCTGGGCGATCGTCTAGACGGATTGCGCCGACGGCGGGCACATCTTCCCCCTCGTCCTCCGAGTTACGTCCTGCACCGCGGTTGGGCTGGGTGCGGCCAGGCGTGTCACGGCCAGTTACGACTCGAGACAGCCAGTTGGTGATATCGGATGAAGACATGGTCTTGACTGGTGGTAGGTAATCTGCTGAGTAGGGAAGATGTGTCAGTGAGAGCAAGATGATGCTGCCTTACTAGGTTTGTGGAGTGAAGTGATGATGTGATGGAAAATATTTGGGGTGATATGAGCATTTATAGTAAAGGAGATTTTGGTTTAAGCAGGTAATTTCTAGTCCGTTCAATGTCTGGTCTGTAGGTGAATGGAATAATGGTATTGTTCAGGGTTTCTCCAATCTTGTAAGGCTGCAACACCACCAATGTCTTTGTTCTCTGACCATGTTCTCAATAAACAAAGTCAAGGACATGAGAAGTGTTGTGTTAATCTCGTATATTTCCCTTAATTTTCAAGTTCCCAAAAACGATGAATTCGAGATAGTTGTATGTTGAGAAGCGTTTCAGTATCCGAGTTCATCATAGTCCCTCGTTGTTCCACCGCCTGGTTTCCTCGATCACTCGCTTGGCCGAGATATCCATTGGGAAGCTCCTTTTCCTCGTTAGTCTCTCATTCATTTCTTCTACCGGAACTATCTCTTACATTTCCCTTGTCGTTTGCCGCCATTTTGAAGTCGTGACCTTTCTGTTCATCCTCGATCACATTGCTGCACGAGGCTCCAGTCTTTTTTCTTCCTCCTGAGGCAACATGTATACCAATTTCTTCACCTCCTTGTCGAGTTTCGTCAGATTGTCGTTTAACTGATTGATGGTGTCGGCAACGTGGCTGAGCTTGTTTTGTACATCGCGAATGGTCGTGGCTAAGGAGGCGAGGCTTTGTTGATAGCGACGAGAAGGTGTCTCATTTGGTTGCGTCGCTTGATTGTGATATTTGATAGCGGCCATTATGATGAAGAAGTCTGGATTCACACTTTTAGGCTTGTGTTGATGTTTTAAATGTGGTGGTTGAGGAGGGAGTACTGGTTTGGAGCTTGTATTGTGGTGTCAAGGCCGAGAGTGATTGGTAAAAGAAGCAGGGCACAGCTTGAGGGCACAGCCGTGATTTATGCCTTAAATAAAATGGCCGAAACTTGGCAAATCTGCCGTAAATTTATTTGTATATGTGATCTGATAGTTGGCATCTCTTCATCGGCCAATGATGCGGTGGCCCAAGGGCGCTCTCAGCTGCCCGAGCAACCGGACGTGTGCATAAGTTGGCTTCTTTTGAATTCTACATCTCTCACCAGGAGACAATAGGTCCTGAGGTATACTACTGGCGGAGAGGTTTAACTAATGTACGTTGCCGCTTTTCAGCACCTATAATCATGAAGGCGTGTCTAGCAGTGGAAACACATGTACACTCCCGAGATTAGACATTGGCTGATATTTCCGCCATAGAACACTATGAGGAGTTTCAGCAGTGGTATGAGGCTTGGAAGAGAGGGAGAAATTTCGCAACGATTGATGCATTCATAGCTAGATATAGGATATGCCCATTCCTGTCTCAAGAGGTAGGTCAAATTGTCCTGATTTCCCAGTGACCCATCCTGCCAGTATCCAGACTCCGTCACCTCAAGTTCCTGCCATTAAAGGCGTCGAATATTCGCCAACATAAGCCAGAATAGTAGTGTGTTGCTCTCGCGAGATCGGTGCGTTGCGGTAGTTGCAGGCTCATAGTTCCCGAAACCTGTTGGCGCGTCTATTCCCCGACACGGGCGAAGCAGCCTCCTTCATAGCGGTGTAGCTGCGAAAAGTTCTGAGGGCCCAGTCGGCCTCGAGGCTGCACTGCTTGACAAGAAGATCAAGACGAGTGTGCTCTTCAGTCTGGTTGGCAGGGAGGTTCTCGATGACTTGGTACAGCTTGTTGAGGCGGACGAGCAAATCCTCGATGTGGCTGTCCAAAGTAAAGAGGAAGCTGTCCAGGAGGGGGACATGAGTTTGGGCGAGGGTAGCTTGCGAGGCCATTTTGATGTAGGTAGATGCCCTTGAGTGGGTGAGTTGATGCTGAAGATGTTGCGGGATGAAGAGAGGACAGTCTGTTGGGCTTGGTGTTGCTCGTGAAGGATGCAAAGTTCAAGGATGGGATATCTCAAGAAACTCTTCGAGGCCTATGTTATATACCAACGCTGGAGTGAATGTAATGTCAACGCTCCTTCACTGCAGCTCCCCGAAATACCTACGTGGTGTTTGGGACACGTTGAGCGCCTTGGGCACATTTAGTCTCGGGTCACCGTAGCTCTTGTCGCCAAACATCCATTATTTTCCATCTATTCACTTGGTATAATGCACCTTTGTCGAGCTTCTGTAGGTCCTTATCCGGATAGTTACAGGTGAAGAATTGTGACAACTGGACAAGCAGGGTCTATGGACCCTTTGAACAAGTCAGCAACAGGCTTGAAGTCACCCGTGAAAATGAGAATAGCTGGCAAGAGAAGCTGTTCCATATCGTCAGGTTTACTCTTATTTATTGCTTGTTATCTGTTTGATTGATCAGGCACGGCAAAACAAGGTTCAGATTCTCAACGTTCATCTCGAAGCAGAACTAATGATAGGCCGATTGCCAACGAGGCCACTTGCATTGAAATCTGAAGCAATGTTACACTCATTACAAATTTGTTTTAGATCTATCAGCTTCTCATGCATCTGATATTCCTCATTGTTGGTGATAATGCAGCCATTCACGTGCCGCTCTCCGAAGACGGCAGGCTAGCGATACCCATGCTCGATTGCCGGGAGCTTTTCTGGAGAAGCTCAACTTGCCAACAACATCGATACAAGACTCGCCAAATCTGAACTAAAAACAAACTCGAATTTCTTTTTCAACCATGGGGTGCGACTGCTGTCCGCGCCCTGACCCAGCTCCGGCTCCCGAGCCCGTGGTCACACAGGCTCCGGTTCAAGTCGAAGACAACGCCAGCTGCCAGGATTCTTGCTGCGATGATGGAGAATCCGAGACGAGCCAGGGGAATGCCGTCCCTCAAGAGGCGGATGATTGCTGTGCTTCTGGTAGCTGCGCGGATGAAAAGCCCAATGACGACTCCGACGCGCCGGATTGCTGCCGCGGCAAAATCTCCCCCTGCTGTGATGCATCTTGCCTTGACCGCATCGCCATGCGGGAGTGTAAGATGAGTGCTGCCGGTCTAACTGGCCAATCCAAGGGTGAGTAGCTTCCGTTTGAAGCAAGCGGCGGCAACAACGTTTGCTAACCTCGCTGTCAGACGCGACTGGTTGTACCAGCAGCTCCGGTTGCAATGGAGCAACCGACGGCAAGGCATGCGGCCAGCATAGTCTCTCTGCCCTTGATCGCTACGGCGCGACTCTCCAGGCCCTCGGATGTCTCTGCCGCGCTCTCATCGCCCTCGGTCAAGAGTCTTGCTGCGAGACCCGTGACCGCCCATCGGTCGGTACCAAGTCGTGCCCCAAGAAGTCGTCGACTCGCTCTCTTATCCGTACTTCGGTCGACTCCTGCTGCAGCACCGGCAGCGTCACCAAGGACCAGGCTGCGCAGAACCGTCTTCGCTTGCGAAAGAGCTCTGACAGCTGCAAGTCCGTCAAAAAGTCTCAGCTGGGTGCTTGCGCTGGCTCCTGTTGCTCCAAGGACAAACCAATCAAGACCCTGTCTGTCAAGGATAGCTGCTCGAAGCCGTGTTGTTCAGGTGATAAACCTGCGAAGGACCCTCCTGCCAAGAGCACTTGTGCCGATGCTTGCTGTTCCAAGGCTGAGCCCCCCATTGTCTCAACGGCCAATTCTGGCAGCACTGGCTCTGAGCTTGCAAAGGACAACGGCGGCAAGGACACCGGCGCCAAGAAATGCTCCGGTTCCTGCTGCTCTAAGGACAAGCCACCCAAAACCCCATCCGTCAAGAGCAGTGCTGCATCCTGCTGCTCCGTCGAGAAGCCCATCAAGCAGTCTTCCGCTGGCGATGGTTGCGCAGACCTTTGTTGCGCACAGCCCAAGCCCGATGAAGCCCCCATCTTGAAGAAGTCTGGCTGTGCCAAGTCTTGCTGCTCCAAGGAGAAGACTGTTCAGCAACCTCCTACCAATGACGGCTGCGCCGATCTTTGTTGTACGCAGTCTAAGCCTTCCGAAGATTCCATCGTGGAGAAATCTGGCTGCGCCAAGTCTTGCTGCTCTGATGCCAAACCTGCGGTTAAGGCACCAGCTGTTGGGTGTGCGAAAGGTTGCTGCGGCGCACCAGAGGCTGCCCCTGTCAAAGAACCGACCAGACCCGCCTGTGCTGATGCTTGTTGCAAGCCGCCAAGCAAAGATATCGTCTCTTCGAAGGCTAGCTGTGCCGATTCTTGTTGTGAGATAAAGCAACCTGACAGGCCCCGTGGCTCTTGCGAGGATGACTGTTGCGCCTCTGGTCCGCTTGATGCTTCTATGCAGATTGAGAAGGCCCCGATCCAAACCATCAAGGATGTCGAGAATCAGGCAGCCGGGAAAGAACATGTTGTTCTCAGTATCTCCGGTATGACCTGCACTGGTTGCGAGACCAAGCTCAACCGGACTCTCGCAACTGTCCCCGCCGTCAAGGACCTCAAGACGAGCCTTGTTCTTTCTCGCGCCGAGTTCAACCTTGAACTCCGTCTGGGCTCAGTTGAAGAAGTTATCAAGCACCTGGAACGAACCACCGAGTTCAAGTGCGAGAGAGTCCAGAACAACGGTTCCAGCCTTGATCTCATTGTGCCTGGTAATGCCTCCAAGTTCATGAGCCAGACCTGGCCAGAAGGTGTGCTTGAGATGACTCTTGTGGACAAAGAAACGGTCCGAGTTGCATTTGATCCCAAGGTCGTTGGAGCTCGAGACCTAGCCGAGAATATTTGGGGGCCTCCCATCAAACTTGCCCCTCCTCATGGTGACCTTTCTCTCGAGGCTGGCAGTAAGCACGTTCGTCATGTCGGATACATGACGCTTCTCTCTGCCATCTTGACGATTCCTGTTCTTGTCCTGGCCTGGGCTCCAATTCCCGAAAGAGAAGTGGCTTACTCCTCGGCTTCGCTGGCTTTAGCCACCATTGTCCAATTCGTCGTCGCCGGTCCTTTCTATCCCAAGGCGATCAAGGCTCTCGTTTTCTCGAGGGTTATTGAAATGGATTTGTTGATCGTTCTAAGCACGAGCGCCGCCTATGTCTTCTCTGTGGTCTCCTTCGGCTACCTCATCGCCGGAAATCCACTGTCGACCGGTCAATTCTTTGAGACGAGCACTCTCCTTGTGACTCTGATTATGGTTGGCCGATGGGTTGCGGCTCTTGCTCGCCAGAGGGCTGTCGAGTCCATCTCGATTCGTTCGCTCCAGGCTTCTACTGCTATCCTCGTTGATGAAAAGACAAAGACGGAGCGTGAGATTGACGCCCGACTTCTCCAGCATGGTGATGTCTTCAAAGTCCTCCCAGACTCTAGAATTCCTACCGATGGAACAGTCATCACAGGTTCCTCAGAAGTCGACGAGTCGATGCTCACGGGCGAATCCCGACCTGTTGAAAAGTACCCCAAGTCTGTGGTAATTGCTGGGTCCATCAATGGGTCTGGAGTCATGACTGTTCGTCTCAATCGCCTACCTAACGACAATACCATTAATGCCATTGCCGCCATGGTTGACGAAGCGAAGCTTTCAAAGCCCAAACTACAGGACCTAGCAGACCAGGTTGCCTCCTACTTTGTCCCCGTGGTGGTGGCTTTGACAATAATCACCTTTGTCATCTGGGTTGCGATTGGTATGACTGTTCGTGGCCATAACGGCTCCGAGGCTACCATCCAGGCCATCACTTATGCCATCACCGTTCTCATTGTGTCCTGCCCCTGCGCAATTGGACTGGCAGTTCCTATGGTCATCGTCATTGCTAGCGGGGTTGCAGCTGAGAAAGGCATCATATTCAAGTCTGCGGATGCTATCGAAGTCGCCCACAAGACGTCGCATGTTGTGTTTGACAAGACGGGAACTTTGACTCAAGGAAAGCTCTCAGTCGTTGCACAGGACTGCCTTGACGAGGACGCCGTTGGACCTCTCTTGGGTCTCATCGAAAACAGTCGACACCCCGTCTCGGTTGCTGTTACTGCTCACCTCAAGGACATGGGTGTCAAGGCTTGGACTGTACCTGAACCCAAGAGTCTGACTGGAAAGGGTGTTGAAACAACTTTGAAGGGGCAGAAGCTCCGGGCTGGAAATTCTCGCTGGTTGGAGCTCTCAAACCATGACCTTGTTCTGCCGATGCTAGCTCAGGGCTATACCGTCTTTTGCTTCACCATTGACAACGAGTTGAAGGCTATTTATGGCCTTGAAGATGAACTCCGGTCTGATGCTGCATCCACTGTCGATGCCTTGCAGAAGCGTGGTGTCTCGGTCCACATGGTTTCTGGCGATGACGACGGAGCTGTCCAGGCTCTGGCATCCAAGCTGGGCATTGCTAGTGACAACGTTCGCTCTCGAAGCTCGCCCGCCGACAAGAAGGACTATATCCAGACTCTTCTGGGTAACGAGGCTGATCGAAAGAAGCCTGTCGTCGTTTTCTGCGGCGATGGTACAAACGACGCTGTTGCTCTGACCCAAGCCACCATTGGCGTGCACATGAACGAGGGTACTGATGTTGCGCAGTCTGCTGCTGATGTCGTTCTCATGCGTCCATCCCTGGCTGGGATCCTGACCATGATGAATGCCAGCCGAAAGTCGGTCAACCGCATCAAGTTCAACTTCTTGTGGAGCTTCGTGTACAACACCTTTGCTGTCCTCTTGGCTGCTGGGGCGTTTGTCAATGCGAGGATTCCACCCGAGTTTGCTGGTCTTGGCGAGTTGGTGAGCGTGCTGCCAGTCATTGCGGCTGCGGTGCTCCTGCGCTGGTCGAAGATTTAGAGGGAGGTGATTGTTGATGCCTATGGCTCACGTTCTGTCAACTTTCCTTTAACTCCGACCGGAATCGCCATGGCTACAGATGGGAGTACAACTCGCCGTCACTTTTCGGGTTGAATCAATGTTGCGCTTCTGTCATTCCCGGCTGCTACTGCTACTACTTTTTCCATCACCAGAGAAGGCCTCTTCGGACGCCTATACTCAACCAGTACCTTTCTCATGTCCTGCACCACGGGGCATCCTTTTCAACAACTACGACTCCTTTGGCGGTGAAGTGGTGGAGGGGGATGAACACTGTTCAGGGGGCTTACGGGGTCTGTCTGCCCTTTGCCTCGTTCTCGTCCTTGGGGGCGTATTTATCGAGTGTCTAGCTATTCATGATAGTTTAGTCTGCGTCAGTGTTATCCGACCTAGACTCATTCCTTCAATACTACATGCGCCTACAGACTATTTGACGTGTTTCAAGTTCCAACCGTGTGACAACCTCTGACTGGCAGTAGTAATAACAGTCCGATACGAGATGCATCAATGCCATCCCACGCTATGCTACTTCTCATGAGGCCAGATGTAGCAGTCGTTTTCTCATGCTGGCATGGTCGCCACGTAGGCTCGCCACGTCGAACAGTATCAAGGGGTTCAATGTCCAGTTCTTGCTGGACACGTTCCAGTGTTTCATCAAGAATCCGGCCCTTTGTTGGCGTTTGACAATCTGCAGGCGTGCGCCGACATTGCGTGTACGGGTTAGCTATTGGGAATCTCACTCTCCAACTGCCCATGGTGAGGGAAAAATACTCATAATTTGGAAGTAGAGGATTGTGCCATTTGAGATATTGCTTCTGGTCGAAGTTGAATTATTTGCAAGCCCTGATCCGTTATTCGGCGTGGAAGCTAAAGGAATAGAAAACTATCCTACACAGCTGGCCGCTACTGAACAGCAATTACACGCTTGAAAGGATTATTAGTTACTTTTCGCTAAATCGATTTGCTATTTCATACAGTAAACAAAGTGCTCCTGTGACTACTCTGTAGCATGACTATTAAGATTATTTCCCACCTCCGTGACCAGCGCCGTATAATTCCCGTAATGATAAAGACAACCGCTAATGCAATAAAGAACAAGACTTAAGACCAAAGGACAACTCAAAGGAACTCGGCCAGCCATACCCAGCAACAGACGATAGGTATCATGGCGAGCACTATCCACCAAACCTCTATCGTCAGCTTCACTTGCAACCAGCGAGGTAACCTCCTGCTGAAGGCTGAGCGATGTGAGCATGTTCTTGTCCCGTAAACTAGACAACCAAGGCCGGGTCGAGATTCGCATTCAATGTGCTCTCGCCGGCGTTGCATGAGCAGACTATGGTTGCAATTAGCTATGCTCAGAAGCCTGTTTGTGAGCGAGAACTTACGGAACACTACCGCGACAGAAACGGAGATCACTACCCAGATCACATCTCCTATCGTTGGGACACTCAAGGTGTAGACTCCGCCTCTCCACAAGCCATTCCACCTTGAGATTGACGCCCGTGTCAACAAGGCTGTAGAAGTGGGCGTTGGTGTGTTTCAAGGAGAGGGCATCCGGGTAGATGAGCATGCGAGATATAGCAAGGTGAATCTCGGTTGGAAGAGCCATAAAGGTAACCTTTGGCGATTCTTTGTCCACGGCGTTTAGCTTGATGGCTCCGGAGCCTTGTTCGGCGCCGGGCCCGGGGGTGGTGGGGCGGCGCATACGGAGGACGTTGGACATTGCGGGGGGATTTGACTTTCTTTAGAGTAAAAGTTTTGGAGATGGATATTTCGATACCTTAGCGATTGGACTTGGGAGGGATCCCGGGAAAGCTTTGTACTTGACTGCTGCCTTGAGGCGTGAGTCTAGGACTCGGATAGTGTGTATGCCAACCCCCCGGCCGTTTAAGAACGGGCCAGCGTGGTCGGTCGGTCGCAGGCAGCCAAGCCACTCCTGTAGTTGTAGCGCAGCGCACGAGGTTCTAGCGGGTTTCAGGAGAGCGCAGTGAGGGGATAGGCGCTGGACCGTAAGGCTTCCATGCTCGTATTTTACAGCGGCAAGGCGTCTTCTGGTCAAGGCGAGCTTGGGCTATTTCTGGTGGTTCAAGGCTGAAAACAGGGATGGGTTAGGCATGTTCCGTTTACTTATTCAAAAGAAACATGAAAAAAGTCTCAGAGTTTAATTTCGGCGTGACCGTTTTCGTTCAACCAATATCTGAGGTAGTGATGAAAACGTCGAGTCCTATTTTAGGATTGGATGCTCCTTCAACTGGTGCCTGAATTGTTTGTGTACCTGCCTGTCCTACAGCACCTTCTCCACGTGACTCCGTGGTCCTCTCGCGCGTCATTCCCCAAACACGCACGCCAGACTCTTTTGCTCTTCCATGATTCATCATCGCATGCCCTGGCCAAGGCTATCATGACGCCAGACAGCGATGACGAGTTTGGATATGATTTCTCCGTCGAGGAAGAGGAGCTGCTGCTTCAGCTCACTTCGCACAAGGACGCCCCCGCTTCTCCACAGCAACACCAGGCAAACATAACGACGATAGATGCTCAAGATGGCAGACTTTGCGGTCAGGCTGAGGCCAGGAATCGTCCAACGCTTGGGCACGACGATATTCAGGCCTCAAGGGAAGCTGCCTATGCTCGCTCAAGCCTCCCTACGCCACCGCCGTTGTCATCAACGGCCATACTCAACCAAGAGGTTTTCTACCCGGATCGTACGTGGTGACCTCGCCATGGGACTTCGTCACACTAACTGACCCAAGCGACTAGTCACCAAAGCCTTATCCAACCTAGAGTCCAAGCCAGCTGTCAAGTCTGACTCAACTGTCACAACAGGACCACAGGTTGACTCCATCGAGGATGATCCCTTTGACGATGGCCGTTCACCTTTGCAGCGGTTTCGCTCTTATCCCAAGAAACCTCTAACAGTCAGCGATCTCACTTCAGGTGCTTGGTGCGAGTTGCAGTACTGGTACACCCTCACCCGGTTACCAGGCGGCCGGAGGACAAGAACAGCCGCAATGAAGCAAGGGTCCAAGGTCCACCAAAAATTGGAGGATGAGGTCCATACCACAGTCCAGATCGATATCATGACCAAGGAAGACGCATTTGGGCTTCGACTCTGGAATTTGGTTCAAGGCCTGAGAACGCTGCGAGACACTGGACTTACCCGGGAACTGGAAGTTTGGGGCATGGTTGACGACAACCTCGTGAATGGCGTCATTGACAGCGTCAGCTATGAGAATCCCAATCCCGAATTCGAAGAGGAACTTTCCAGTCAGGAGAGCAATTACCAACAAACGACATTAACGGATTACTTCCCACCTAAAAATGGTGAGAGCCATGGCGGTCCAAAAATCTATCTCGCAGACGTCAAAACCCGAGGCTCATATTCTCCCCCGTCAAACGCCCTCATCAGACCTGCCAAAATCCAGTTATTGCTGTATCATCGATTTTTGTCCGATATGGCGGCTGGCAGGCTCAACTTCCTCAAGGTCTTCCGGCGATATGGCCTTGATCCCGATGATGCTTTCTCAGACACCTTCATCGCTCAGGTCGGCAGCCTCCACGATGAGATATTCGTGGACGCTTCAGAAATAGAGGTTTCAGCCACAGAAGGCCGGCCTTCATCCAGCCATCGGAGCTCATCATCAGCTGGTCCCGATCTACTCCAGTATCGGACCTTACGGGAGCTCATACCACTTGTCGAGCACGAGATGGATCTCACATTTCCACACGGCGAACATACCCTCGGCCACATGCTCCGCGTCCAATACGTCCATCGTAGTGACGGTCAAGAGATTGACGTTCACGATTTCCCCGTTTCTAGACAAGCATTGGATGCCTTCCTCGCCAACTACATGGCCTGGTGGCGAGGCGAGCGAAGGGCCAAGGGTGTGGATATAGAGGAGGCCTTCAAGTGTAGAACATGCGAGTTTGCCTCTGACTGTTCATGGCGCCAGGCCATGGACGATGAGAGGTTGCAGAGAGCGAGGACGCAGCAGAAGGCGCGGGCTATACGGCGGAAGAGTAGTGCTTATGCATGAGATGAGTGTTCCTGGATATGTTACGAGTTATGAAGGATAACGAATATACACGACCTTTCCCTTGCTTAGAGTTTGAGCTGTTACCATGAACAGATTTTGACAAACAAACACCATCTGTCAATTAAAATGTGGTCAAATTGTCTACTATCATTCTATCATGTGAGATTCCATTAACCTAGAATAGCCATCTTCTAAGCCAAACGCCCCTATATCGAGAAACGAGATCATTGCCAACAAAATTATGATCCTCGAAGCACTCTAGTTCCAAGTTCAATGCCTCTTGTGTCGGTGTGTACGGGTCATACCAAAACCCCATCCATCTATCAACTCAGTCAGCACGTTTCGAAAAGTGAGAGACGGCAAACACTTACATTGAGCCGCAACATGAATGTCGATATCCAGCTCGTCAGCCCAGTGCCACACAAGGTTGGGGTCCTTGAGGAACCCACGGCCAACCAGCACAGCGTCGACAGAGCCATCGCTAAGATACCCCTGAGCCTGCTTCCCAGAAGTGATGCTGCCCACGGCAGTCACCTGGATCCCAGTTCCCTCAACAGCCTTCTTCACGGCCGCAGCCCAGGGGACTTGATATCCAGGGCCGGCGGTGATCTTCTGTCGGCTGTCCAGACCGCCGCCCGAGATGTCGAGAAGATCTACACCCTCGCCCGCCAAGATTTTGCCCAGCTTGCCAGCTTCCTCGATATGCCACTGTGGCAAGGAGGGATCAAAGTCAAGGTAGTCCGTACCAGGCATGCGGACTAGCAGAGGGAAGTCTGCAGGGACGATAGTGCGAGTGAGTTGGACGATTTCGATGAGAAGACGGGTTCGGTTCTCAAAAGAGCCGCCATATTCATCTGTTCGCTGGTTGGAGGCCGGCGAGAGGAAAGAGTTGAGAAGGTAGCCATGAGCGGCGTGAATCTCGATGGCCTACCAGTTATCAGTACTAATTGGCAAGTAATAAGAGCTCAGAGACTTACGTCAAAGCCAACCACGAGTGCTCTCTTGACGGCGGCAGCCCAGTCCCGCTTGAACTTGGCAATGCCCTCTGCGGTTATCTCCTTGGGGACCAAAGTCTCTGGACTGAAAGGAATGGCACTCGCTGCAACAACTTCGTCTGGCCAGCCGTCGGCCTACAGCAGGTTAGCATGTGTTTTCTAAAAGTTCGATTGTCTTGTTTATCCCACCTCCTTGACGGCCACGGCCTTGCGATCAAGCCAAGGCGCGACTGTGCTCGCCTTTCTTCCAGCATGTCCCATCTGGATAGCGATCTTGCTGTTCTGGCTGTGCACAAACTCGACAACCTCTTTCAAGGGCACCATCTGTCCATCTTCCCAGATGCCTGCATCCTGAGGGCTAATACGGCCCTCGGGCGAGACGGCGTGGACTTCAGTAATGACGAGTGAAGCACCACGGGCTGCAAAACTGCCGAGGTGCTGCTTGTGCCAGGGCGTCATATAGCCATCCTTAGCAGAGTACCTGAGTGAAGTTTAGTGCAGATCGAGAGTTGATGTGAAAGATGACGTACTGGCACATAGGAGACACAATGATGCGGTTGCGGAGGGTGAGGTTTCGAAGTTTGAGAGGAGAGAAGAGGGTGCCTTCTGGCTGGGGATCCCATGGTGTTCCCGCAGGAGGATCCTGGATGGGGGTATAGAAAGAGACCTGAAGCTGTAAGTGTTCTGGATCGTCTGATCGTTGTGATCCCCAAGTACATACATTCTTGGCTCCGGTGTTGACAATGACCTTGCGATGGCCGTTGGGGATTTCAGTTGTCGACATGGTGAAAGTGAGAGTTGGACGTGTGTTCTGAGTGAGAAAGGATGCGAGGTCTTTGTTCGGGACTTGTGTACTGAGTAGAATTGTAGACTGGTCTGGGAATGTGGAGTGTGGACGAAGAGGCAGATATACTTATACCCAGATCCATGGTGATTTATGGCATGATGGCATGGGGAGAATTATGCTTGTTGTAGCCGTGTAAGTCATTCCGATTCCCGTCATATGCAGCGTTTAGCCTGGCGGGTTAGACGGCACGACAATTGGCGTTTTCAATGTTCCGGCTTCCGGGGCTGTGACATGTTTTCCGCTCTTGGCGTTGATGCTTAGAGAGCAAAGTAGCAGCGACAACCAGATCTGAAGAGCGAAAATAGAGGCCGAGACGCGAAATAACACCCCTGTCGACATGTCTTGACAATATCATCGCGAAGGCCGAAAAGCATGCGGGAATAACGGTCTTCCTATTGAGTGTGCAGGGTATCTGATTGGGGTATCGAGCTCGGTGGTTCGGCAAGTAACCCATCCAACCCTTCACCTTCGCATTAGCCGGCATCAAGTCCTGGCTTTGGAAGCAGGTGGCTTGCCTGACAAAGAATGCATGGAACGTTCCAAGCGAGTTGCGAGAAGCCCGAGAGAAGGATACCCAATGTGGTGCCAGGTCAGGTCGGCCGATCTTGCATGGCCGTAAATGGAGCCAACTACGTCACTTGGCTTTGAGTTGCGAATTGCTGACATGTGCTGTTTTCGAGGCATCTCAAGTGCCGCTCCATCCATCTTGGCAAAATGCCTTGTCCCTGAGAAGGATTCTTGATGTTGGCTCAGAACCATAACCTAAACAGTGCCATCATCTCAAGTTGGCCCAGGTTACGCATTCGCGGATCCTCGTTGTCTGGATCCTCGACTTGGTCTTCATCTTGATCATCTTCAGACCCGAATTTGGCATGTTTTCCCTGCTTGATCTCGCCACATTCTTCCAAATGCTCCTTGAATGAGGTCGCTGTGAATCTTCGTCGGTGGTGAAAAGGCATCCTTTCCAGGTCCTCACACCCGATGCAGTGGAAGCCTTGTTCCGTCAACTGCTTCGACTTGTTGAACCACGGCACCTGAACGATGGCCAAAAAGCGGTGCGGATTGTTCACTCTTTCATCGCATCGAGAGAGAAAGACTTCAGGAGGGTCAACGAAAGGCTTGGGATCGTCCTCAGAGAATGCCGCCTCGTATCGCCTTCGAGAATATTCGTTGATCCTTTCCATCTCCTTCTCTATGACAGTTTCGGTCATGGCATCGGATGAACCGTGAATTTCGAGACCGGCATTGAGGGCGCTTTCAGAGTCTACAAATACAGACTCGACACTGGCGACACGGGCTGGTGAGTATTTGCCGGGCATTGCTTTCATGTGAGGCAGCATGTCGATAATCTCGCTGGCGACCCAATACTTGCGACATGCGAGGTTTGGCGGCACAGGAAAGTAGCGTTTCTTTTCAGAGAAGCAGACAAAGCACACTCGCTTGCAGGTGAGTAGGTAAAGATAGCCGCCGAAATCACCACAGCCGTCGCATTTTTCGGTACAGAGCTTCTCGTGCAATTGCTTGCAGGTGATAGCCTTGGCTGTATCGATGCACAGAGCGCCGCGGACTGCATCCCAAGCATGGGTGATGAGAGTGTTGTACTCGGAATGGGAGTAGAGCAGCTCGGCAGCTCGTCTATTGGTTCGCCGGAGGGCATGTAGAGAGGCGAGGTCAAGCTGAGAAATGATGATGTGAAACAGTTCTGGGGGAAGACGGTCCAAGAGAGGAAACGGGGTCGTAGATGGCTGAGGAAGAAAGTCCCAATCCGATGGGAGGACAGGCAAGTTGTCGCTGAGGGTAAAGTCCAATTGCAAGAGGTGGGGAGAAGGCTCTGGAGTCAATTGCTGGTTCTCCATGCTGGTAGAAGCTGGCTATCGCAAAGAAACGTCTCGTTGATTAATGAATATCGTACAGTTAAGCGATTCGATCACACTTGATGGAATGATGGTTTGGTGTCTGATTTGGGTTTGTGGAAGAAGCAGTCTCACTTTCGAGGCTGCACATTCCAGAGTGGAAGCCTCAGGTACCAAACTCTCCTCAGGTCACACAACAACCACTTATTAAGCCATGTCTCAAGCGCCTCAATTTCCTGCCTAAACCACCACCATCCGCCACCGCTCACCACGGGAGTCACTGTCAAATGCGACGATTCAGAGAAGACGCTTCTGATGAGAGCCATGACGAAGAGGATATTCCCCTGCATCACAAGCGCGCCTTTGGTGCAGGGTTGAAGCGCAAGCGGGTTGAGTTTGTCCCCGCCCAAGATCCAGACGCTGGTGTCACAACAACCGTGACGCCTGCGAAAGCGACAGACACATCCATCGGAGATTTATACGCCAGTGTCGTATTGAAACCTGAGTCCGAAACCAAGGAGTCTGCCGAGGAAACAGCTGAAATATGCCCCGTTTGCGAGCTACCGATCAACTCTACCTCCCAACCTCATGAAGCATCCATGGCACATCAGGTCTCACTAAAACACTCCTATCCGCCCTCAGCTCTTGACCGGTCCCGCATGGGACTGCGGGCTCTCAAGTCACAAGGATGGGATCCGGATGCCCGGCAAGGTCTCGGCCGCGATGGCGAAGGCATGCGGTACCCGATCAAGGTGGTGGCCAAGGAGGATACTCTGGGAGTCGGCGCAACCGTGCCAGAGCACATCCAGAAGAAGGAGAAGGAAGAGAAGCCAAAACCACTGAATCGCAAGGAGATGCGGCAGCTGGCAGCACAGGAACGACAACGGAATGAACGATTGCAAGGGGAGATTTACGGGAGGGTCGATGTTGAGAGGTACCTGAGGGGAGACGGAAGTGACATATGACAGGGCCAAGCTGGATGCAAACCAACATCATGAGGTGCGGGAGAACCTACCTTGTGTCGCGGGACTGTCAGAATGCCTTGGCTGAAGATGCCGATAGGTATGAACTGTCCGTGAACTGGTGGAGGCTGCGTAACGCGGCTGAGGACCTGCATCTAGCCTGGTAGGACTCACCGCTACCTACAGATGCAAGTAAAAGTCTACGAGATGTGAGTCGTCGCTGTCCTGGATTGCGATAACTAGGTATTGATACCTATTCGTAGGCAGTGAAATAGGGTACCCTATCAACAACAGCTGGACTAACAAACAAGATTACACATGGCGGTGGTCATAGGCACTCGCTCGCTACCAACGTCAGAGGCACCTACCAGTATCTTCTGGCACATCTGTTAAAGAAATGGATATCAACCCGAAACAGTTGTTCTGAGACGGAACATCAAGCTCACACGGTCCCTGAATTATTCATGCATGTAGATAGCGGATGCAAATCAAAGCGATTGCTTGCCAACCTTGGCTCACCCTACAGTCTTGAACGAAGTCCAAATATGCTAACCTAAGCTTTGGTGATGACCTCATCGGCTGCAGCGACGCCGTCACACACCGCTCCGCAACCAAACAGCTCACCCCAGCATCAGTCCTTGGGGGCAGGCTTCAGCGTGCCTCGGGCTGTCCTACAGCGGACTCACTCTCACAGCGACCATCACCAGCCAACCAACTGCGGTGCGCTAAGGACAGAGCCTCCAGGACCAGAGACCGGGATCCACTTCATGCGCAGGTGCCATCCAAGGGCCTTGGGCGCGGGCTTGAATGAAACCCCGCCATAGTCTACTCCTGACTCGAGTTGGGACCCAAACTTGGGATCTTCGACACTCAATCGTAGACGACTTGGTTCGGCTTCACCTTTGGCTCTGACGCTGTCGCGCTTCTCCTTGGTCTTGGCTTCAATTCTCTCATCCTAGAATCTCTTCAACCTCCTCCTTTTCCTGTCGCGACTCCCATTCCGACCATTCCTGCTTCCGCCCAGCATCCTCCCTCTGTACCCAACGACGTGACGGGGCAGCCCGCCTACAGCATTCACCATGGGGCTGTCCGTCATTCAAGAGCAGCACGATGGTACGTCTGATTGACTCTAAGCCATGGCCATAGGCCATCCTGTTGACGCGCATCGCCAGCCATTCTGGAGCAGATTAAACAGATCACCCGAGGAGACGTAAGCTATAACATCCCTCCGCCAAGCTTATCAAGTCCAACAGCTAACACTCCGCCATCCAGTGGAAATGTCTAATCGTCGACGAGAACTCCAAGAAGATTATCTACAATGTCGTCAGGGAAGATGACATTCTCAACAACAATATCGCCAGTCCGTCCACCCATCCAAATGTCCCCCGGCCGCTGTCAGCGAGGCCTCTGGCTGACCTTACTCCTACGTCTAGCTATCGAGCTCATCGAGAGTCGTCGCGAACCAAACCCTGAGATGGATGCCATCTACATCCTCTCCCCCGAACCTTTCGCCGTCGATTGCCTCCTCGCCGACTATGAAATGCGACGCTATCGCAGCTCCTACCTCGTCTGGACTGGACTGCTCGACCCCTCACTGCGACGCAAGATTGACGATTTCCCCGGGGCTCGCCAGCTTCGCGCCGGTTTCCAAACTCTTTTTATCGACTTTGTTCCTCGAGAGTCTCATCTGGTCACTTTCAAAGACCCCTGGAGCTTCCCTATGCTTTACCACCCGTCATGCAACGCACTGGTTCCCCAGCACATGAAGAGCCTGGCACAAAAGGTAGGCCGACAGAGTGCGCCAGCCCAAATCCTGGTCGTTAATCTAGAGAACAGATCGCCGGTCTTTGTATTACTCTCGGAGAATACCCCAAGGTTCGATACTACAAGCCCTCAGGTGCGCTTCACGAAGCGAGCGTCCTCTGCACACACTTGGCTCGATTCGTGCAAGAAGAGTTGGATGGCTATGCGCAATGGGATACCAACTTTCCGCCTCCCTCGCAACGACCGCAAGCGACGCTGATGATTACGGACCGATCGATGGATTTGATGGCACCACTTGTACACGAGTTCACCTACCAAGCCATGGCACACGATCTACTTCATATCAAGGACGGCGACAAGATCACCTACCGCACCACCATGAACGAGGGAACTCCTGAAGCAGAAGAGAAGGATATGGAGCTCGCAGAAAAGGACAAGATCTGGGTGGATAACCGACACAGGCACATGAAGGATACCATTTCCAAGCTGATGGACGATTTCCAAAAGTTCCTCGCGCAGAACCCACACTTCACCAACGAGAACGCCGACACGACCAACCTGAACACGATTCGAGACATGTTGGCAGGCCTACCGCAGTTCCAGGAGATGAAGGAGGCTTATTCATTGCACCTCACCATGGCGCAAGAATGCATGAACATATTCCAGAAGCACAAGCTGATGGACATTTCCAACGTAGAGCAGACTCTGGCAACCGGGCTAGATGAGGACTTCCGGAGGCCTAAGAACGTGCTCGACTCCGTAGTGCGACTATTGGATGATGAGGCCGTGTCTCCCGAGGATCGATTACGACTCATCGTCATGTTCATTCTCTACCGGGACGGCGTTATCAGAGAGGATATCAAGAGACTTGTCGCCCATTCGAACCTCCCGCAACCAAAATGCCAAGTCATAGAGAACTTTGCGCAGCTTGGTGGACTCATGACACATGAGCTCAAGGACGTGCGACAGCCTCCCCCGCCCCTATTCCCCATCGACACAAAAGCGACCCAGCTGAGCGAGGAGTACGGTCTGGCTCGCTACGAGCCGGCTCTGAAGCACATGCTGGATGCTCTCGCCAGAGGCGTGCTAGAACAGACACACTTCCCATATGTGAAACCTCCGTTGGACCCTAATGAGGACCTCCTGATAGCACAGGGAGGATCACTACGAGCAGGCCGACCAAACTGGGCAGCAGCGGGACGCCGTCCACCGGAGAATCGGCAGAGAATCATCGTCTTCATGGCTGGAGGTGCGACTTACAGTGAGAGCCGTGCATGCTACGAAGTTGGTGCTGAGAAGAGCCGCGATATTATCTTGGCAACATCGCACATGCTCTCACCTGAGCTCTTTGTCCGTCAAGTTGGTGACCTGAGCAAAGACAAGCGACAGCTCGACTTACCTCTTGAACGACCCAAGAGACATGCGCCAGCACACCTGTATGAGCGCCCAGCACCTCCTCGTCCTCCACCTCAACAACAGCCACCTCCACAGCAGCCTGGCGGTCCAGCACGCCGGCCAATTCCTGGTGGTCTCCCTTCCCAGCCTCGCCCTGGGAACGCACCCCCTACGGCAGCCATGGGTAACATGACGCTGAATCCACACGGCGGCAGCAATGGTGCTTCGCGACCGAGCTCGCACCACAGCACCAGCGGATATCATCAAGAGGACGGTGGCAAATACCACAAAGAGAAGAAGCGGAGAAATTTCCTGGGCATGAAGAAGTAGGGCTCTTCAAGCGGGAGTGTTTCTTCTAAGGCTGCAGTGTCGCCGCTGGCTCGGCGGTCTGACACGACTGGGACCGAAGGTTCAACAGAGGAGCTCACGAAGCCTGGTCGGAGGAAAGGTGGCAGGAGCTCTTCAAGTACAGGCCGGAAAGAAAAGTGCTGAAGGTGAGGGGCCATCTACTATATCTTGGGTGATACGAAGAGGAGGTTGTTTGTTGTGTTGGGTAGCGATTCAATGAGAGAGCAGGTTAAACTTTAGTTGGTGTTGTACCCTGTTTGGTTCTTTGCAGTCCTCGATGGAGCGCGGCGTTTCTTCTTCCTCTCTTCGTTGTCTGCGTTTTGCCTTTTGATCTCACGACGAATCAACATGTCTTGCTTGCTTGCTTGCTCTGAGTGGGTGGTAAAGTGTACATAAAAGGGCTAGCCTGTGTATATACAAGTTTTCCGTGTGATGAGTTTGTTGTTGGTGGTGTTGAAAACCATCTCCTTTTCCAACGCTTCTTCGATCCCCTGGCCTGAATAACGGCATGTCTCGCTTCAAAGCAGAGATACATAATCTCACGAGGCACACACATTCATTACATGACGACAAGAAACAACAAAGTTGCCCATCAATCAATCCATTTGAACCCACTACCTAACAAACAACCGAATTTTTGCCTCCATGCCTATTCCCTGTTGTCCCCTTCCCCATCGCCTTGCTTCCAGAAAAGATAAAAAAAGGATAATAAAATAAAAAAAAAGGGACAAAAGCTTTGTTTCAAAAAAAAAAAACAAGTTACTATCTGCAGGAGGCGTTGAACGTTGGTCCGCCACTGCTTTCCAAGCTCTCAGGTTGTTGATATGGTTGCGGTTTTTTCCTCTTTTTTCTTTTGCTCCGGTTGATGGTCACACAGTAGTGTAAGAAAAAGCATTTCGCTGGTAGAGAAGCGAGTCGCTTTTTTTTTTTTTTTTTTGTTCCAATGTGGTTTGAGACAGGCTGTTGATAGATTTCGTACATGTGCGGTGCGCTTAGAGGGGAGTTTCTCCCCTCGTCGTGACCAATGGGGGAGTTGGTTGAAGCATGGCAGTTTGGGAGAGTAGCTCTAAGGTCTGCCATAGGCGGCGCCGCGGCCGGGGTTACCAGCAGGAGGCATACCTCGGCCCTCGAAGGGACCGCCGGGGAAGTCGGGTCCAGGAGGTCCGTTAAAGCCACCGAGGCCTGGGGGGAGGAAGCCGTGAGGTGGGCCGGCGAAGAAGCCGGGAGGAGGCGGAGGCATGTTACGAGGGGGCATACCGCCCATGGCCTCGGGAGGAGGTGGCATCGCGCCGGGAGGGAAGTTTGGTGGGAACATGTGAGGCATGGGCATGTTGCGGTTGGGGCCAGGGCCACCAGGGCCACCAGCCAAGCCTGGAGGAGGGATCATAGGGCCTCGCTGCTGAGGAGGCATCTGGCCACCGCCTGGCATCCAACTGGGTGGCATCTGGTCCAGGCCTGGGGGAGGAGGTGGGCGTTGCAAGATCTGGGTCGGTTGGTTGGGTCGACCATCGACGTCAGGGGGGTTGTGGAAGCGCTCTTCCATGGGGAAGCCGGGTGGCGGCTGATGGCGAATACGCTGCGGACCGCGGTCATCCCTAGGAAAGTCGGGCTCCCGGTCGTTGAGCTGAGGGGGCATCTGTCCAGGCTTTTGCGGCTGGGGTCCCATGCGCATCAACAGCTCGTTGCGCTGCATGTCTTGTGGCGCTCTCATGAGGTTCATCAAGAACTCGGCATTGTTGTTGTTGCGGGCGGCGTCAGGGCGGCCAGATCCCTGGCTAGGGGCGCGCTGGCGTTGACCCACGAGGTCCTGGAGGAGCTGATCGGGACGAGCAGACTGCGGTTGCGGTCGGGGAGCGAGAATCTCCTGGACGTGTTGGGGCGGAGGTCGGCCCATGGGCGGGCCGTCCATTCGGCGATCACCTCCGTATTGCTGGAAAGGCGACCCAGGCGAGGCCATGGGGTTCGGTCTACCAGCATTGGGCGGCGTGCCCTGAGGGGCAGCGAAAGGTGAAGGACCGGGGGGTGTGGCGCTCATTGTCTGCTTTTGCAGCTTCGCAAGGAGTTGCTGGAAAGCCTGTCGCTCATCCTCGGGTCCAGGGGCTGGGCCGGCGGCAACAGGCATAGGCAGAGGCAGAGGTAGCGGAATGCCACCATTAATAGGTGGTCCAGTCATGGGAGTAGGAGGCTCAGTCCTTCCTCGAGGTTCCTCCTGAGGCTGGGAAAAGAACGAAGTAAACCTCGAAGACTTTCCAGTCGGCTTGGGCTTGCTGGCGGCGACGGGCTCCTTGGCCTCGCTAGCACCAGGCGTGTCGAGACCAGCATTGGACGCAAAGGCCATGAAGAACTTGTCGGGACCAGATTCCACAGCTGGAGCAGATTGCACTGGGGGCTTTTCAGCCTCGACAACAGCTTCAGCCGCCTCGACAGCTGCAGGCTTGGGGGGAGCGGCGGGAATGCCAGCCTTGGCTTTCTTCATCTCCTCCATCCATTTCTGGAAGTCCTGCTGCGTGTGGGCTTCGGGATGCTCCTCAAGAGGTTCATCAAGCCATTCGGGTTCGCGCTCGACTCGCTGGTCTCGATCACGTCCCCAACGTCTCTCATGCGTGCGGTTGTTGGAGCGATCATCCGCAACCTCAGCGGAAGTATCACGATCTCTCCAGCTCTTTGCGCGGTCTATGCGCTCCCTCTTATCAGGGGTCGATGTTTCATTCGTGTTGGTACTAGGCTCGTTCTTGTACCACGATTCAGACTTGTTTCGATTCGGTCCGTTTCGAGATCGGTCATTGTCGTCGCCATCTTTGTCTCGGGAGAACGAGTCAAAGTTTCGCGCCGGGCGATCTCGAGTAGCTTCGCGGTCATCGCGTTCTCTGGGCTGTCGCCCGCCGTCACGGAAGTTGCCTCCCATGCGTCCATGGAAGCGCTCAGCGCCTTCGTGGCCGAAACTCTTGCGAGGCTTCACCGTACTCCAACCGTCAGATTCACCCTCAGTTCCATCGCGGCGACGGAAGCCATTGCTGTTGCGACCTTCGCGGAACCGATCGTTTTCTAAATCGCCATTGCGACTTCGGAAGTTGCCGAAACGGGCTGGAGCATCAGAGTCTTTCGCGGTCTTGTCATTTTCGGTAGTTTTGTTGCCTCGGGCTGAAGCAAAGGCCATTCGAGGGGGGGCAAAAACGAGATCTTCAGGGTCTAAACAATTGCGCATCGGTCAGCACATGTCAAGCATGGGGTTCAATCCAGGGGGAACCGACTAGCACTGTTCCGTGAAACATGTCTCTCAGCACCGGGACGGCGGTTGGTCTGGTCAAGGAGAGGGTTGTCATTTGATCGAGGTCGATCGCCGGTCGTCTTGTTCTGGGTACGGTTTGGTTCAGGTGGGGGTCTGAGGCACGATGTCAGGAGATTGATATCGGTAGCTGAAAATACCTGGTACTTACCCCATCCAATCCTCGGCAGGAGGGAGGTTTGGAGGTTTTATACATAGCGGTGAATCCCGCAAGAACAGCAGTGTTTCAGCTGTGTATCGAACAGCCATGATGGTATGGAATATGGAGATGCGATGCGCATCCGAGAGAGGAGATGGTCGCACAGGAGAGGAGAGAAGCTGTTGCCAGGAGAATTCGGGCGCACACCAAGGGTATTATAGGAGCTTTGGATCTTGTGGGAAGAGCGGCGGGTTCGCGTTCAGGACGACAGGCGAGTTGTAGCCTTCAAGGCTGATTCTCGACAGGTGTGACGAGGAAACGTGGCGAGGCGGAGATGCGGTAACGGAGGCGATAGCGGCGGTGGGTGGAGAGCAGGTCGATCGATCAGTGGTAGGTCAGTCGGTGAGTCGGCGAGGAAGCGTGAATGTAGTATCGTCAAGGAATCTCGGGCGATAGCGTCGAGCGACAAGGCGAGAGTTGAGCGTGACAGATATTGGATGAGATGGCGGAGGAGGGTGACGTCCTAAGGTGGTGGTGCTGGCTGGACAAGGCGAGCCAAATGTGGAGCCAACAGCTGGGCTGGGCTGGGCTCTGCTGGCTTTCTCGAACCCCAAGACCAAGCCTCAGAGGGCCAAGGGCTTGCGGCAAGAGGACAGGGGTGTGTGCTACAAGGAGGTCGCTTTCGCTGTTGGTGGTTGTGGTAATCGTTGTCGTCACAGGTGGAAATACTAAGATACTGTGTAACGATAAACAGGATGGCAATAGAGGGGGGAATGTAGAAAGTCGAGAGATGTTTTTTGGTGGCTTGACGTGGTTGCGAGGAGGAGGTGGAGGCGGGCGGTCGCCAGTGCCAGTGGGAGATGGAGAGGGAGGCGAGAGGACCCAAGGGCTGGTATCCTAGCGCTTCTAGCGTCGTAGTGACAGTTGTACAAGTTCAAAAAGGGCGTTTGGCGAATAATGAAAATGTGTCGTCTTTTTTTTTTTTTTTTGGGAGAAGAACGAATGATGAGCTGGTAAATCTGGTTCCGGGTGTTGGTTGTTGGACGAACGTTTTTGGGGCGGAGGGTTTGGGTTTGGAGACGGATTGTGATCCCGTGGTGAGAGGGGAGGAGATACTTTGTTCGCGACCCAAAGCTTCGTACCATGGCAGGTACCCTCTGCGGACGCTGCACGCACTCAAAGCACGCTGTGAATGCCTGAACGCGTCCGTGCTAGGGGTTGGTCTCAGTGGCAAGCTGTCCCCTGGAGCTCGCCCGCGCCCACGCGACGTTGCCCAGCTACCTTTGTGGGTACGCGCGATGGTCTGCCCATCGATGTACCCAGACAAAAGCTGTCCGGCTTTGGCACCGGCTCCGGACTCGGCTTTCTTTGACGGGCTAGCAGAGGGCATTCGGAGCCTCGAGTTGTTGGAGCTATCGCTTTGTTGATGGGAGCGGATATTTGGCCCACATTCCTGAATCATTCCAGCGTAAGGATTGAATAAACCGTTTGAAGGGGCTCTATGAGGATTCCATTTTGCGATCCCTTTCTCTTGCTCATGGGTTGTTATTCAACACACTGATACAAGACACTATTGACCATTTCCCAAGATAATTGTTTCATGGCATCCGATATCAATTAGCCAACTGCTCCCTTGGCAATTGTTGATTTGATCAATCTGTTTTCAGTTTGAGCCATACACCAGCAATCTTGAAAACTGACACATCGCCCAAAATACAGACAAGCGACAGACAAGCGAATAAGACAAGCCTAGATCAAAACCTCATTTTCATTCAAATTCAAGTTTCATTTCAGCATCTATATCATCTACTTCTTAAGAGCCGCACCAACAGCCACGACCTCCTCATCCAACGGCAGGATGTGCGGCAGCGGGCCGACAGGAGTAATAGCAAAGGGGTTGATCTGAGTGTGGCTCCTCGTGTAGTGCCACTTGATGTGCTCAAACTGCGTCGTCTCCTTGAACGCAGGCACGTTCCAGTACAGGTTGCGCATCCACTGGTGAATCGCCGGGTACCCGGAGCGGATGTCGCGGATGTTGCACTTGAAGTGCTGCACGTAGACAGGGTCGAAGCGGATGATGGTGACGTACCTGAAGGGTGTCAGTGTACAAGACAAGTTTAGGGAGGGAGAAGAAACTCACAGTCTGATGTCGGCTTCGGTAATGTTGGCTCCAAAGTAGTAGGGGCCTTCTTGCGATGAGAGATGCTTCTCGGCTCGGTCCAGCGCCTCAAAGAGCGCCACCACGTTGCGCTCGTACGCCTCGCTCGTCGTGGCAAAGCCAGACTTGTACACGCCGTTGTTGATGAGGTCGTACGTCCACTCGTGTGTCTCCTCAATCTGCTTCTGCAGGTTCTCAGGGTACAGCTGGATGGCCTTGTGCTCCTCATCCAGGAGGTCATCGAACTGTCTGCGAGTCAGTCATAGAATCAGATTGTGAGGGTACAAACAACTAACCTCAGTGCCAAACATGCGCAGAATCTCACTGCTCTCGTTGCTCACAATCCTCTTGGTCTTCTTGTCGTACAGCACGGGTACAGTGTATCGTCCCTGATAATCCTTCTCACTCTCAAAGTACACCTCCTTCAGATGCGTGAATGCCTCGTGGCCCTCAATCGGGTCAGGCACAACATTCTCTCCGGGAACATCACCATCCTCCTTGGTCACAAAGCGCCAGCCGCCCTGTCCAAGGTGCCAGTGCACCACAGAGAAGGAGACAAAGTCCTGAAGACCCTTGAGGTGTCGGGCGATGAGGGTGCGGCACGCCCAAGGGCATGCGTAGCTCACGTAGAGGTGGTAGCGGCCCTTTTCGGGAGGGTACTGGGCGCCGGGCTTTCGAGAGATCCAGTCGCGGAATGAACTGACTTGACGCTTAAACTCGCCAGACTTGTCGCCGGGCTTCACCCAGTCGGTGACCGAAAAGCCGGTGCTTGACTATGGTTGTGTTAGCAAATCGTGAACAAGAGCAAGTAACCATCAACTGACCATTCTGATCTGATTCGAAAATTGGATGTTGAAATTGGATGTCGTTGTCGGTGATGGCTTCACCGAATTCGCGAGATATGTCAAAGATCTCACAGACTGTTTCTTCTGCTTCAAGAGTAAATTCTGGTTCCAAGCTCCAAATGCTCGAATCCTCAATGCTTGCATCGACATTTCACAAAGCGGAACCAAGCTCGATTAATGACGGCGACAAGCAACCTTTATACTCGACCCCTCCTCTCTCAAGCAGAAATGTCGTATCACCCTTGCTCACTAAGACTTGCTCAGCAGCCAGCCCCTCACCAGGTACAGTCTAACTACTTCACGCAGGCAGAGCCCAGCCTTACAATCTGTTGGTTCTTTCTAGAGCTCCGCGCTGGTCGAGCTATCCCGTCCTAGAGCTGTGCGTCTCCGATTTCATAATCGTGGCGTAATGGGTCACCCCCACTCGCCTGCGTGCCGCTTAGTTAATTCGCTGTCTTGTCTTGATAAGCTGCCTATTCATCATGACATGAGCCTTCGTAAACTACTTGATGTGAAGCTAGGTAGGAAACTACTGTAAGCACGTCCGGTTATTGGCCTCAAATGCATCTTTTCTTGACAATACGATATTGACTTCAATGCTGTGCCACTCCGAAACCTCCAGTCAAGGTTGTCTCGGCTACCCCGCATTCCATTCACTCAATGCCATGAGGCATCCCTACACCATCTGGGCCAGCGTAAACAGCATGTTCAAAGTGGTGCAACACCTTCATAGTCACATCAAGCATAATGGATTTCATCTATCTTTATGAATTCGCTCATCCTTTATTCGTGTGCTCTTTCGCACTCTGTTCCTTCTATCGCTTCCTTACATATCTGAATGACCGACATAACATTCTCATTTCACTTATGCAATCTTGACCTTGATGTAGGGGACCTCCACATCCTCCTCAGCGAGATCCTCCGCTACAATCTCAAAGATGACCTCCTTCTGGTGCTCAGGGATAGGCTTCTTCGAGATCGTCTCCACAAGCTTGCTCAGCTTCATCTCATATCGCTCCTTCAACTTGGCAGGAGGGAAGAAAGAGGCATACAGAAGGCTGACACCTGAGCTGAGCATGCTGATGCTCAGTCCCTTCTCCTTGAAGGTATCCAAAAGCTCCCTCAGAGTAATGTCCTCAATCTCGAATCGATCCCAAATCTTGTCCAGTGTGACGTCACCCTCAGGTCCCTTGTACACCACCTTGGGACTGGCGATGGGCTCACTGAAGCCAAAGAAGGGCAGGGCCAGGTTGATGAAACCGTTCTTGTACTGCTCGATATCATCCTTGCCATCAATGATCTTGAACAGCTCCAGGACCACCAGGCCGGTGACCAGGGCCGTTGTAGTGGCAATGGCGGGAATGATCTTGCCAGCAATGAACTTGGTCTTGTGGCGATCAGCAGGCTCGATCTTGTAGTTCTCCGCTCTCAAGTTACTGCAAGCGGTAATGAAGTCGATGTGGTGGTTCGAGTCGTCGTCCTTCTCAAAGTCCACAGGTACCAGCTGGAAGCCGGACAGGGTGTTGGGTGCGGGCAGGCTAGCCGTCAGCTTATCCAGCTCATCGTTGTCGTCGAAGGCGCTTGCCTCCGGTTCCTAGATCCGATTAGTTTCTCATCTTTCAGGGACTATGCAATTACTTACGGGTGCGGGCTCCTTATCATCCGCCTGAATCTTCACATTCGAGTCAGGGGTGAAATCGGGCACAATGACGTTGTCTAGTTCCCGCAGGTAGATGGACCTGTCAGTTCCAGGCGACTTGATGTCGTAGTTGAAGGCGTGGAGGTTGGCAGCGGCCACGATGAACCCAAAGTGTGTCGGGTTGTTGGGATCAAACTTGAGCGCATCCGGAGCACGCTTGGGGCCAGACCAGAAGGGTGTTCCGGACGATGTCTCGGAGTCCTTGGGGAAGTTGTACAGAAGTTGCTGGATCTTGTTGGCAAACTCAGTCTCAAAGAGTCGACGAGCCCAGGCGATACAGTCCTCAAAAGTTCGTGGTCGCTCGGTTGTGAGGTAGTTGCGGATCGTCTCGAGTGTCTCCTTCTGGTTGCCACCCTGCTTCAGAGTAGACTCCAAGAAGTTGGGCTGGGTCAAGTACAGGTTGACAGTCTGGGGAGCCTTGACAAAGAGCTTCTCAAACATGTACTCCTTGGACCATGCGATGGTGTGCTCAATGCGGTTGGGGAAAGATCGAATAGTACACATGGGGAATTCCTTCTCAGGGGGATCCTGCGAGGAAGAGTAGGATTCGGTAAGGTGAGGAAGGACAACCTGTGTGTTACCCTTGGTTCCAAGAGTACCACTCTCGAGAAGAGGCTTCTGGAAGAAGACACATCGTCGATCCACATATGTTCGCGCCTCAACGTTGTCGAGAGCATTGGTAACACCATCGAGGTTGCGCCAGAAGTCTTCATTGAAAACGCTTTCGGTATCGGGGCTAACGCGTTCCTTCAGCGTCACAATATGACCTTCGAGGTCGGGGTTCATGCGCTGAACTGCCTTGGCGGCACAGTCACTCTTCATGCCTCCAACATCTGCGGCACGGAAGAGGAACTGTCGGTTCAGGTTGCTCCTCTCAATCGAGTCCATGTCAGTCACCCAGATCTTGCCCTCGGGGCCCGTTCCAAGACCGATCATGGCCCAGTTCTTGAGCATCTCGCATCCAATAGCACCAGCTCCGACAAGGAATTGCTTCAGGTTCGCAATCTTGTTCTGGTACTCGGTTCCAAAGACAGCGATCTGGCCGTCATAACGGCTACCAATAGGCTTGCAAAGCTCGGGAGAACGCTTGGTACTTGTGGGGAGAGACTCGAGAGAATCAAAGTACATCCACTGGTTGATGGGCTGGAACTTGCCAGAAACGGCCTTCAAGATCTCCTGAGCCGTGATACCACCAAAGTAAGCAGCCATGGGGTTGAGGTCACCCAGAGCCTGATAGCTCAGCTCCTTCAGCAGCTTCTCGTCCAGCTCAAGCTCCAGGCCCTCCTCCTCGGCAAACTTCTTGGCGGCACCCAAAACTATGGTCGCATCCTCGTCGTCCATGGGGTTGGGGAGTCGCCCCTTCGAGACCTGGAAGGCATGCAGAGCCTGGAAACCAAGGTGCAGCTGCTGAGGGCGGTCGAACTTGGCAAAATCGGAGATGAGGAACTCGGGCTCCTTCAGGGCATTGGTGAAACTCTTGAAGTTGACGATCTTAGGCATCTTGACTTGCTGGTACATGCCGCCCCGCTGATACTGGCCCAGCCCAGACACGTCGCCAATCGAGAAGGTATAAGGGCCCTTGACAGTAATCTTGCGGGGCTCACAGCCGTTCAGAGCTTCCATACCTTCGATCTCGGAGAATGTCACGTAGTCGCCATCTTCCAGTCCGTGTCGGGTCTCGTCCAAAGCAGAGACCAGGCCCTCCTCATCGACTCCAGCAACGATACCGCTAAGAGGAGTCTCGCCAGTAGGATCGATGACGGTGAACTTGTCGCCAAAATCGCAGAAAATGGAACCGAAGAGACCAAAGGTGTCGGCAATAACGACATAGATGCCCTTGTTGTGGCAGTAATCGCCGATGGCCTTCTGGTGGTGGATAGGAACGTTGGTTAGGACGACGATCTGGTACTTGTCGAACTGGGAGAAGTTATCGTCCAGGCCGGGAGACTGGTGGACCTTGACGGGGGTGTAGGCGTTCAGCTCGGCAACACGGGGCACAGTGACCTCATCTCTGGGCTTGCCGACGTCGCTGGGGGTGAGGAAGAACTGAGAGGAGAGGTCGGCAAGTTGAACTGGAGCGGGGTCGTAGAGGGTAAGACTCTTGACACCTGCCAAGGCGATGTTCTTGGCGACCTCAACACCGAGACCCTTCAGACCGACAATGAGCACATTCGAAGCGCCCATGCGCTTCATGGCCTCGTGGCCCAAAACATAGAGCTGTCGGCTGTAGAGGGATTCGTCGATCTCGGTGTGTCCGATGACGGACTCGTCGACCTGCATCCGGGTCGCGAGGTCGACCTCGGGCAGCTTCTGGTCCTAGAAGTCGAGCAAGGGTTAGCTTTAGTCATGTTGAGCTTGCGCCAACGGGTCGAAAGCGTGCAGATGGGAACGGGCCCTCTGCCCGCACTCAGCATGATCCGTGGCATCACGAAGTTGCAGCCTTAAAAAGGGCAAGCCTAGACAGGATGTACTCACAACCATGGTGCGCTTATGGGTAGGTGACTCCCCGTTGGAGAGCTTTCGCTTCCCCAGCTTGTCTGCTTCAGACGCTATGTTGAAGGTGGTAAACCGGGCGGTTGCAAAGGTGATCCAGCACCAGGCAGAGCTCAACCCCGCCGATCAAAAGGTTGACGGTGAGGGGCAGACGGAAGATGGACGAGAGATGGATGTATCTGCGGGCGATTTCGATGCTCGTCGCAGACGGTAGCGGTGATAATAAAATGTGTACGTTGGTATGGAAATCAGTGGTTTGTGAGAGACGAGAATTCCTGCCACGGAGTCAGGTAGAAGAGAAGACTGAGGCTGTGAGCAGCGCGTAGTGGACGGTTGATGAGGTAATGGCCCGAGGTGGCTTAGTGTAGATAGTGCGGTGCGGCATGAGGCATGAGCTGGCGCGTGCTGGGAGCGGGTAATCCAGCTGGTGCCTTACATAAGCGAACAAGAAAGCCGATGAAGGGTGAGGATGAGGGGCAACATCCATGACTTGGAGTGAGTGGGGTGACAGGCCAGGCACACACACCAGCTGGTTGCCCCGCGGCCAGTGAGAGGATGACTACCCTGGAGCTTTGGTGGGCTCTGGGGCCCTCCAAGGCATGGGTCAGAACTCGACAAAACTGGCCACCTGTACCTGCACAATGATTCTGTTGGATTCTACTGACCTCATCCGGCTTAGTAGGGTCTATGCACAGTAATCCAAAAAGGTTGTTGATGGTGGTGGTCGCCGGCTACTTTTGTCAGCGCCAGTCCGGTCTGGGATGAGCTTCGCCCTGCTTCGGTGAGGTACAGTGCTTGGTCCTCGTTGGCGGGGTCAAAGTATTTCGCGGGGCACGCCATGCATGTTCACTGCAGCTCAAGATCATGAGCTCTCATGAGTGAAAGAAAATGCCCAGGTTATAGTATTACAGAGGAGATGAATGGGCAGCCATGACATGAGTCGTTTACATCTGCAGCAGTCATACGGATACGCCCAAAGTTTGGGCTACCTCTGACTCGAGTGGAGCTCTATCCAGGCGCAAGAAGCAAGACAAGGATGAGCAAAAGTTAATCACCGCAGCATGAAATAAGGGCAGGCATCGATTGTTCTTTATTTAGCCGTTCGCATAGTTACGATAGCGGTGTAGAAGCTACCCGGATCGAACTGCGCCCAATACTAGGTATCTCTGGGTATAATGAGCAATGGGCTAGTCGTAGGTTCGTTGAGCTGGCAGATCCGTTCAAATCCCCAGTTGCCGAAGGCGACCGACAGCGACGGCGACAATTGGCGCATTTATTGGACCTTCTTGAGCTCGACATCGCTAAAGTCAACATTAGTGGCATGTCCGATTGGCTGTGACGAGCTATGTGTACTTACAAGATGAGGCTAGAGTTGGGGGGAATGTGACCGGGGAAGCCGCTGTAGTAGTTGTGTTAGCTAATGCGCGTTTTGTGAAGCTCGTTCAAGATGATGTAAATAGGGTCGGAGCTCCGGCGACAACAATGAGCCACTTGGGGGAGCGGGGCTTACCGAGCACCATAGCCGTAGTCGCTGGAAGAAGCTTGTTAGCAATTGCTTGCGACGCAAAGTATGAGGAGGAGAGCTTACGGAGAGATGTCAAGGGTGGCCTTCTCGCCAACCTGCATCTGTGTGACACCCTCATCCCAGCCTGGAGAGCGTAGTTTGTTAGCATCGAATGTCCTGTCTCTAGTTGCTCGGAAAGGCGGAGGACGGGTATGGGGCTCGCGTACCCTTGATGACCTGGCCAACGCCAATCTTGACGACAAAGTCGCCGCGGCCAACGGAAGAGTCGAACCTGAAGAGGGAAAGGTTAGCTATGGCCGAAGCTTCAGTGATGAAGAGGCCGGCTGGATGCTTACTTGGCGCCCTTGTTGTCGGGCTTGGACTCGTCCTTGAGGTAGCCAGTGTACTCAATGGTGACGGTCTGGCCGACCTGAGGGACAGCGCCGGTGCCCTCCTGGTGAGTAGTCTTGGTAACGCCCATGATTGCTTGTGTAAATGAGAAGTTGCGAGATTGAGGTGCAAAGGAGTTGAGTCTAGTGGTGATGCGAGATGCGCGGGAGACGGATGCAAGAGAGAAAGACCGCATGTTGGAAGGGAGGAGACGGACGTGGACCTTTAAAGGGAAAGGGGAGAGCTGAGCAGAGAGCAGCTGGAGCAGAATCGGGAAGGCAGGTACAATGAATCACAGCCAGGAGCCAGACCAGACCAGGACTTGAAAAGGTACAGTAAGGTACGAACGAAGGAGGGAGTGTTGAGAGCTCGGCGATGCGTGGTTGGATGGCTTCAGAGCCGGGGTCAGCTCTTCCAATCCCAGGGCGCAATGGAGGGGCAATGAGATCGACGGCGGGGCATGGACAAGCCAGAATGACGAGCAATGCCAATCAGCTTGCGTGAAGGCTCCACTTGGGATGACGAGTGGGAGAAGCTCGCAGAATCGAGAATCCATGGAAGCCCAGGAAAAGAAAAAGATACATTTGATTGTCGTGATACTGTGGCCTTGGATGGCAACACGTGCAGGGTTCATTCAGAAAGGGCGGTAAATCCCCTTGTTGGTTCCGGAAAAGTACGGTACTGTCCCTCCATCAATTGTAGCCGCTGCTGTGCCCAAAGGGTGCGTATTCGGTCCTTGGCTTGGCCTGGCTGTCTCCATCACGGCGGATGGACGGATGATTCTACATCCAAACCAATCATCACCATGAATCACTTAGGGTCTCTTCGTCAAACAAACTACATCTGCCTATTCTACCGGATGATGTATTCTTAGTCAATGTACTCTCCAGTACACAGGGACTGTACCTGCTGCGGAGATACATCCATACATATTCACGCGCATACCGTCCGTCTCAGGCGACGACGCAGTGGGTCTTGATGCTCGTCCTCTTCCAAGCTTGGAAAAAAAAGCAACGCCTTTCATGGTTTATCAAGACAACATGACACCAGAGAGACCAACATGAAACGAGGCAGTGTCAATATTATCCCTCAGCCTCGTTTCAACCCGGCTCGCTCCTCTAGTCCAGCCTAATCTCGGCCGACACGCCGGCTGGGTTGCTGGTTGGCCATGTTTCGACCGCCCACTCACTCCATCCTCTCACAGTCAGATCATGGGTAGGGATATTTCAGCTGCCATAGTCTATCACTAGACACCACACCCAGATAACCGCCAAGAAACCATGCATAAGTATCCGTAGCCCCAGAATCGGCCTGCCGCAGCGTGCTCTCATGTTGCAACCCGTCACCCATACCTTGCTGCAGGACGACTTGAGGCCCACGCGGCCGAAGTATTTCGGGCTTCTCGGGGATGCGGGCGTGATACTGACAAGGTAGTCTGATACCTTGCAGGCACTTCAATCTCCCCGTGATGACAAGTCGGAAACTGAGTCGCTTGCGCGAATGAGTTCAGCGAGCGTGTCCCAGCAAGTGTGATACTGCGGCTGGAAGTTGTTTGTGTGACAGTCAAGGGCGGAGTTTTCCACGACTCTAGGGTCACCACTGAATCGTCCTCAATTGACGTCGTGCAGATCGTGCCTGCGGCATCTTGCATCTGTGATGCCTCGATCTCTGATTGCAGTTTCTCAGAAGACCATCCTTGAGTAACTGGAGGTAGGTTGCCCTGCATATCTTCCGAGACGGCGGCTCTTCAATATCGAGATGGCGACCTTGACCTGGGGTTCTGATATATGTAGATTGATAACTATCTCAGCTTTCATGGGCTCGGCCATGTCATCATACTTGCTGACAACAAATCAGATTTGAGGGGCTTTAGAGCTGAGACTGTTGGAAAGCTGACTAGATGTCCCCTCCGCATGAATCCTACAAGGCATGAATCCGAAACATATCGGACGTACCATGCAGGCGCTCTGCAAGTCTCCCCCGAGCCAGAGCTCATCGACGATGGCCATCATCACAATCGAGGACATATGTGCTGTACTCCACACCAGCAACGTCGTGAAACATCTTTTGCATGCCACACCGATCGTTCCCATCCTTCGTGGCTCCTCCAGACTCGTCTCACAAGTGCGCAGCTCGCAAAAGACATGGGCATGCAACCGAGCCATGCGCTTCATGTCTCGGTGTTGGATAGTAGCGCCCGACACGTGGAGAGTAGAGACTGGAGAGGCGAGCATGTGGTGTTGTACTCGGCAGGATATCAGCCCTCAAGCGATGTATTGTTGCGAAGAGACGCCGATGTTTATATCACCATGCGTTTTGTGTGACTGGTTAGCATGGACCTTCTCGAATGGGGATGGGTGATGTGACTGTTGGGAGATACCCGAGAGAACATTGCGTCATAGTGATTATCTTGACGGTGCATAGGACCTCTATTATGGGATTTGAAAAGACACTGGGGTACCTATTGAAGTTGAGGTTTCCCAGACTTACACGCATGTTGAAAAGACGTAATTGGTGGTGCATTGAGGCGTGCTGGAAGCATGGCTTGGCAGGTGAAACATCGGGACGAATTGAGCTTCTCGGGGATCGATGATTTTTGCTAAACACCACGATCATAACACCGAGCTCACAAGCTTGAAACATGGTCTCATCCGAGACCTCGCTTTTACCTGCATTCTTGCCAACCGATGTAGCCGCGACAATATGCCTGGGCCCACTCCACTCTGGGCTGTGCTTTGACATCTTGGACGATCTCTCATGGCATTTTAACAATGTGGGAAACGGGCTAGAAAGATAACTTGAAACCGAGACTAAAAGAGTGTATCAAAACATTGGAGATTGCGTTGTTGAGCTCCATGAAGCCTGTACAAAGCACCACATTCAGGACCTTCGCGTGGGGGCTGCTAAGACAATAAAAAGAAAGCAAGGGATGTATATGAAGCAACACGAGGTGGCCTCATATGGCCTGCTTTCAGCTTGATCAGAACCTGCTAGAGGGCTCGGCCGACTCCGGTGGCTGAAGGGATACCCATGGTCGTCGGAGACTTGCGACTGATCAGAAGCAAGAAGGTGGTATGTATTCAACTGTCGTTCTGTAGTGCAAAAGGAAGTACTTGTATGTCTTTGATCGGCACCCGACCGAGCGTCGAGGAGCATACTTGAACACCAGCTGGATTTAGTTAGCTGATGATGAGTTGGTATAGAACTAGCCTTGGTAGAAAAAGAGAGCATGATAAATCGAGTATCCTCGTAGCCTCAATGGGTATGAGAACCTGGAGTATCACCGCCACATGCCGTTGCTATTTACTTTGAAGTATCTAGTAAGTCCTACCTATTTATTTCGCATGAGACCTGGAATAATACCACTCCACTGCTTCGCGACGGATCTGAAAAAGACAGAAGAATCTCAGTCCGGGTAGCTTTTGCGCGTGGTTGACCAATACACAACAATGGCTGGCGCTTGGTTGGCAGATATCATAGGTCCTGCTACATTACGAAGTCAATGGCTGAATTCTGACGCCAGGGCCTTGACTGCGTAGGCACATGCTCTTTGATGGGAGGATAGCAAAGAACTTGCTACTCAATGTAGCATTGAAGAACCTGTGAGTGGCTGGAGGATACCCAACTTGGGTTCTTGAGTCACCTCCCCTTTGTTTGCATTATATTCGTATGAATTATAGCAAGGACAGGAGCATGCTTCGAGCCAGCATGGTCAGTGCTAATATAAAGGGAAAACTGCATACAATGACCGATTGGAGACAATGCTGCCACCTGGAGTAGCCTGAATTCTCAGTCGGAGACTGTCAATGACGACATGGTTTCGCAAAAATCTGATCGGAGTACTCAAGAGAACGAGAAATGCCCATGTTCAACTATCGAGCCTTAAACAAGTAATGTATTTACTAGTTGTGTAACTTGGGGGTGATTCTCCTGGTAATTGAATGCCTTTGCGAACTAACTATTCCCTCTTGTGACTTGTTGTTACCTGATATATGAAGTCCTTAACTGGCCAAGACAGCAGAGGGAAAGAGTAGAAAGCAAATAAATAGTGCGTGTTTCATAAAGCAGGAGTTTCGCCAGGTTCCGCATCACTGGATCTCCCGGCCTCCTCCTTTCAGGGCGTTTGGTGCCATCTTTTCGCATTGTTCCTGAACATTGTGCAGCAGTAACATCGCTCACATCGGCCGATAACTTCTATTGCAGCGTAACCCACTGAAAGGCTGACAGCATATACTCTAGACAAGGAAAACAAGTATCTGGGGCCAAGGGATGGCTTGTACCAAGAGTGGGATGCGTATCTCAATTGGAACTACTTGAGTTCAAAACTATAACAACTGTATCTTGAGTTTATGTCCTTTGACGGACCTTGGGTGCCTGACAAACTTAATTATACCATAGACTGACCAGCTGGAAGAAAAATGTTCATCAATCCTCATCATACGCTTCGCCTTCGAGAACGGGGCAAGTATGGGGTCTAAAACCGAGATAGAGGCTGGCCATTTCCTGACCTAAACTTGTGACAATCATATTACCTCTGAGACTAATAAGTGGGAGATTCTCATAGGATGTCTACTAGTCCCTTCTTTGTCGTAAGTGAGCAGACTTGGGGTGGAAAATGCTGTCCCATTCAATGACATCGCAAATCTGGCCAGATGCGCTCACCTATTCCAAGGCTATTGGTGATAACGGACAATACATAAGTTTATCTGTACAATATTCTCGTACCTGTCATAATTATGGGACGAGTAACTGCTGGCTGTAGCCATTATTGGGTTTCGAGAACGACGTCGTCTAAAATGTCGTGGATCTGTCATGCAAGGTGACGGCAACATAAACAGCAAACTCGTGACCACTGCTACCATGCCAACTTGAGTCAGCCTTGATCTTGGTCGAAATTTACGGAAGGCCCAACGGAATCAATGGTGTATCGCGTTGAAATGACATTTGCTACTGCTGCATCGGAAAAGTTGTGCATGTGCTCTCAACTACCGACTCACCCTTGGCTGACGCTGGTTAGGATTAGGACATCCTAATCGATGTAAGGGTTGCCGGAAAGAATTTTTCTAGGCGGAGTACTTGGATTGTAAGAGATACCAAGCAATTAAGGAGGTGAGTGTTTGACACAGCTCCTTGCCTTCGGAATGGCCGCAACCGCACTCAGCATATCGGCCGGTACTGGAAGATATATCATTGGAGTTTTCGTATTTTACCTCGTTGTACCGGCCCTACAAGGCATACTTATGAAACTAGTCAAGCGCTTGGAGTACTATAACGAGCACATCATGGAGATGAGGGCTCATGACCCCTGGTTTTCGGTATGACCGTTACAGGGGTTGCGAAGTATATCGGCCGAGACCGCAAGTTATCATTGGGACTTTCGTATTTTGCGCCGTTAGGCTGAACCTGTAAGGCATTTTTATGAACCCAGTTGGGAACTTTGTCGTAGGGCTGTCTGTAGGTTAATCGAAAGCCTGGCCATCGTTTCGTGCATTGCCGTTGTGTTGTACAAGGGAAAGAGAGAGAGTTTGCTGGCTATCGTGGCCACACCGGTAGTTGGAGGCCGCCGGCTCAAGGGTATGGATACTCGCATATGTTTTCCAAGAATCATGCTGTTGGTCTGATCAATGTCTTTGAGTGCGCAGATGCCGAGTATCATGAAGCATCTTGGCTGCAGCATGTGAACTTGGCGAGAGAGGCCTCCATCATATTCTCGATCTCTAGTCGGGCCATTCTGATCGATCTAGAACAGGATCCTAGGGCCCAAGGCTGATGATGTACGTTTAAGTTATTTAATGGAAATTACCCGCGCCTGTTCGCATTGCCGTGTTCCGAAGCCATCATGAAGATTGGTACGCACCGGCCAATGAGAGGCAACAGCTGAGCCCTGTGGAACCTGTCAAGAGGCCATGACCGCCGAGAGACGATCAGGGTTCCCCCCAAGTCGGCGAGTTTTGGTGGGTGAGTGCCAGAAGTGCCCAGACCCTGGGCGCTACGCGGCACCCGTTAACCGCTACGGGCCCAGACCTTGGCGCACTATGTGCCGTTGGATCCGGGAGTTTCTACAGTCAGGAGCTGTCTTGACGGTGAGCATGACGTCAGAAACCACGGTACCTGTTGCGAGCTGGCGATGCCGAGCTTGCGCAGCCGTTGTCGCCAAGGTCTTGTATACGGTAGATGGGCAGATGGAGTGGCTGGGCTGCTATTGCTGTCTCTTCTCGCACAGCCTGAAGAAGAATGAAAAAATCGTGTCTAGGGGAAAACTGGCGTTGGCGCATTCAAATATCAGCCACCGTCCGCCGCCATCGATAGCTCTTGACCCAAAACGGATGATATCCTCACTACCGAGCTGCGTTGCGACGGCGCATCCAACCAACCATCCATCACACCACAGGACCCTGCGAACCAGCCTCCCAACGCCTCCCCGTGAACTCAATCCTGCATCTTTCTCCTCACCATACTGTCATAAACCCGGTGCGCCGGTCACAGAGTGCTGATCTACTCGGCTGTCCCGGACCTGGGAACTACTTGATTCACCGATAGAGACGCTGTCGGGCGCATCTTGAAAGCCGCGAGCTTCACTGTCGCAAACCCCGCGAAATCAGCCTCGCGATCCAATTCGAAATGTCGGCCACAGACACCGCCGAGGCCCGGACGAATGGCCATAACGGAACTACACACAATGGCGAGAACGGCGCATCAACTGCGCAAACTAATGGTGCACCAAAGTCGCAAGATTCTCACGATGGCGGCCATAACTTGTTGAAACATCCTACGAGGATAGGATCCGGTCTGAAGGAGCGCATCGGCAATATTAAGAATGGTCCTCCCGGCGGCTTCGACCCGACTCCTCTACCGGATGCGCCTCAGGGCTACACGATTCGCTTCATCTTTCACAGCGCCTCCAATCTTCCTCCCGCAGACTTTGTCACGGCCTCTTCAGACCCTTTCCTCGTCGCGACGCTTCGAGGTACCCAACCCAAGAGGCACAAGGAGGACCCAGACCTTGTTCACAGGACGAGGACTATCAGGAAGACCACAGAGCCCAAGTGGGAGGAAGAATGGGTTGTCGCCAACGTCCCTCCTACTGGGTTCACGCTTAAGTGCCGAATGTACGATGAGGACTTTCCAGATCACGACGACAGACTAGGCAACGTGACGATCAAGATTGATCGCTTATCCGACACATGGAAAGGGCTGGACGAGACGTACAAGGCCAAGAAGCGCATGATGAGCAAGAGGGCATATTTCGCTAAAGCTCTCACCAGCGTCGTCAACTCGAACGTGCATATGACGCCCGTTCTCCATTTGAGCATGGAGCTGCTGGGACCATCCGATCCGCCTTATGCTCAGATGTACACGGTAGGACCAACAACCTGGGTCAAGCACTTTAGTCCTTTGATTGGTCGCATCGCCGGTGTCAAGGTGAATGCGAATGCAGACGACGACGCCCGAGATGATGGAGATCAACAGGTTGATCAGAATGGGAAGAAGAAGCCGAGAACTCAAAAATACGAGTACGTGCCCCCTCCCCATCCCAAGATCCTGACTGACATGTTACAATAGCTTCCAAGCCAACGAGATGCAGCTACAAGGCCCGGTGCCTCCAAAGCTGTACCATCGGTTTGTCGAGTTCAGACCCATCATCGCCTCCATCTACTCGTCAACGGGCTTACGCGGCAAGATTCTAAATAAGGCGCTGCACAGCCAGCACCGCCGCATTTACAACTTCAACCAGTCGACCGAGTATGGCGACTTTGACGCGTGCTCTAAAGAGGCTGCGCTTCAGTTCCTTAAACTGGTCCACTTTGACGAGGGGGGTCGTATCTTCACCTACGTTTTGACTCTGGATGGCATGTTTAGGTTCACCGAGACGGGCAAGGAGTTTGGCATTGACATGCTGAGCAAGCATACCATGCATTCAGATGTCGAGACGTACATCGCCTGTTCGGGCGAGTTCTTTATTCGACGTCTTAAGCATCCTGTGTCTTCGGATGAGGTCCATCCCAAGGAAAAGACACACCCGAACGAGCCTGTCTCTGGTGGACCACCAAGAGACCACCCCCCACACAACCCTGCGTATTACCAGCTTGTCATTGATAATGATTCGGGCACATATAGACCCGACAAGTCTACTCTTCCATTGCTGAAGGAGTTCCTCGAGAAGAACTTCCCAGAGCTTGGTATTGTAGTGATGCACTGGGAGGAGAAGGAGCTGCAAGATATGAAGCAGGCTCAGCGAACAACCAAGAAGAGCGAGGGCAGAATGATCAACATGGTGATGAACAGAAGCCAGAGCAGCATCAGCTCAGCTGAGAGTGAGCTTGATAACCGTGAGGCTGGTTGGGAGCAAGGGCAGAAGAGTAAGCGAGAGGCGGCATACGAGGCTCTCGAAGACCCGCACAAGGTCAAGGAAGCTGTCAAAACGTTTGTTCCTGGCATGAGGTCGGAGAGGGGGGAGAGCTCCAAGTGATTGGACTATGACTGTTACGGCCGAACTTATGATATCTGGGCTAGATGGGTTGGAACGTTCTTCGTGGTGAAAAGATACCTGGATTGGTTTTGCAAGGATAGTTTCATTTGTTACCCTAGCATTCTCTACTGTGCATTTCTTTCTTATCATGTTCTAATCTACGAGCATTGCTCGCCTTCTCATTCCCTGGACGGCCTGTATCTATTCCCAAACGAATCCACTCTGTAATCACAGGTTTGACTTGAGTGCCACCCACTTGCTTGAGCACTTGGCCAACACCTCACCATCTTTGTCCTTCAAATCACACCGGATTCTTGTCTTTCTACCATCGGTCTCATCTACAGTCGAAGTGATGTAATACACGCCGTTTGTGGGAACTGGCTTCAAAAACTTGATGTCTAGCCCGCCCGTCACATTGGGCGTCTGAAACGCTCTCGCTTCCTTTCTCAACGTGCCATTCAGGTCAAATATCGTCCCCATGGACTCATCAAGCAACGAAGCAACCATTCCGCCATGAGTCACTCCAGGAAATCCACTGAGGCCGTCACCCAGAGACACGAGGGTGACGGTCTCGGTGATGCTGTGTGAGGGGTCCTTGGCGGCATCGGTGCTCGGGGCGTGAAAGAAGCTGATGAGATGAGAGAGACCGCGTTCATTGTTGAGAGTGAGACCAAAAAGCTGGTCATGTGCTGACGATGCTGGGTTGCGACATGATGGAAGGAAAGGGATTGTGTTTGGAGCTGACAGAAGTGACGCTGTCCAAGGCACAGAAGCGAAGAAGGTGAGCTCAGAGGCGAAGAGGTCTGGCGGTGTGCCTGGGAAGAGGAGATTGAGAGCCGGGCAAACGATGGTGCTGTCGATGGGTGGGAAGGTCATTTTGGATGAAGCTCGTGATGAAAATGAGTGGTTGAAGAAAGGTTGACGATGAGTTGCGATATTGACGGCCGGTCCGATGAGATGGTCTCCGCAACGCGGGGCTGGGGGTTGAAGCCGGAGGATGCAGGCTCTCGACAGCGCGGTTTGGGAACGTTTTAGGACAGATCTTGCGACTAGCATCATCCAACAACCTAACGTGACCGACACAAAGAATGTATTTATAAATGGAGGAGGGTGATATAACAACGCAGAGTTGAAATTTGTCGGGCCCGCGGGATTGTGAAACCGAGGTACCTATCTGGGCGTCGATCCGAGTCTCCCAAGAACCAATAGAATGAGGGTTGCTCCTTGTCGCTCTTGGGCAAGTCACAACCAGAACTATTGTTCGATGGCCAGGAATTAGACCGAGTTGCTAAAAATTTAACAAAAGGCCTAATTGGATGGAAATAATGGCCGAGGTCAAACGGGCACTAACTTTCTTGCGGGGTGTGGTGGCACTTGGTGACACCTTTGTGCACACTTGGATATATACCCCAGATTTGAGATCACTCATATCGTGGACTATTATCTTGAGTCATTTCCAAACATACAAGCTGGACTCGATCAATAGCTTATTCAATAGCTGCCATCATGTTTCCTCTTCATGGTGGGCTCTATCTGAAAAGGCCTTATTCAAGTGGTTCACGCAAACGCCAACACGAACCACCATGATAGGCCCCCGAATACGCCATTGTGGTCACAAAGAGGCCAATTGTAAGCAAACAAGAATCGGCATCGTTCGATTATTTCCTCGGGAAACTCTCGGTGACATTTGCCCTCTTTGTGATTCAGTGAGAACCCCTCGGGAGTACCTGCACTGGTTGCCACTGGTGGCACCTGCCAACTCTATCACAACGCACTGTGCCTGCCTGTCTGCCTTCCTTCCCGAGTAGAAGGTGCGACCTCGAGATCTCTTTTTTAGAGGTTCGTGCCTGCCTCAACTCTGCTCATTTCATCCCCCCGCCTGCTTCGCTCCGGTGGTGCTTCACCTTTCACTCAACCACCACCACGACCGCCTCGAGGTATCAAGCACCGTCAACATGGAGGTCCCCGAGAAGGGCCAGGCATTTTCGCCTCAGGAAATAGATGTTCTCATCACGATCGAGCGAGTCGGAGCGGGATGCTCCATGGTGGCCATCACTCTGGTGATGCTGAGCTACTGGGCGTTCACGAAGCTCCGGACCACTCCAAACCTCTTTCTTCTCTTCGCCTCCATGGCTAACGCCGGCGCCAGTGTGGCCTCGATGATAGGATACGATGGGCTTGAGAGAGGCGAGGATTCTACTCTTTGCCAGGCTCAAGCTTTCATCTTTGAATGGTGCAGTTCCTCCGCTGGTGAATGAGTGTGTGCTGCTAACCTGAGCGACAGGTTCATGCAGTCTGATCCCTGGTGGTCTTTTGCCATGGCGATCAATGTCTTTCTCGTCTTCTTTCTCAACGCGAATCCACGAACATTTCGGCAGTACGCCTGGCTCTATTGTGTCATCTGCTTCGGCGGCCCCATGATACCTGCGATCGTCCTCATCTCTGTTCGAGGCCACCCCGACGGCCTCATTTTCGGAGATGCAACAGTAAGTGACAGCCTCCTCTACTAGTTCACCTCAACACTTTGTATCTGTTGCAATAAACTGACCGATTTTAGCTGTGGTGCTGGATCGGAACTGATTGGAGTCTTGTCCGCCTGTACTCGTACTACATCCCGATCTGGATCTTCTCACTGCTGTCGATTGTCATCTACATCGCGGTCGGGTTCCACGTCTTTCATCACAGAAACCTCCTCAGAAATGTCGCTGCAGATCGATTGGGAAGTGGGGAAAAGAACAGCAACAACCCATACTCAAGCAGTGATGCCAAGGGGTCCTCGGAAGCGGTAGGCCCCCTACCAGTACCACTGACAGAGGAAACACTGACAACTGTCTCTAGAACCTTACCGGTCGCCAGGAGTTTTATGGCACGGCTGTTACGGAGGTTCAGATCACATCGTCTGTGCCGAGACGGAAGCACGAACCCGCCATGCCAGGTGTTATTCATCCCGGAATGAGTCCCAACCGCGCTCGATCTTGGGCCTTGCCAGCATCCTACGAACACCTTGAACCGAACACTCCCACCAGACCCCAGAGATTCGAGACGACATGCACCTCTGACAGCACCCCAAACCCGTCACCGACGATCGCTTCACGCCTCCGGGCCGTCAAGTCGAATGCTTCGCTGAAACTCAAGCGACTCGACCCTGTCAAGATGGCGTACTTGCGAACTAGCTTCATCTTCGGCTTTGCAGTCCTGATTACCTGGATCCCAAGTTCGGTCAACCGACTTTACAGCCTCACGCACCATGACAAGATCAGCTTCCCTCTGAGTGTTGCGAGTGGGTGTGTGCTCCCGCTCCAAGGTGTGTGGAACGCCCTTATCTACTTCACTACGAGCTGGAAGACGTTTTGTGAAGAGGTCGGGGCGCTCAAGGGCCGGTGGTTTCGGAGGCGTGGCGAGGCTCCTGGGGCGATTCGCCTTGACAGTGGCCTAGGCTCTCTCAGAGCTGAGCACCGCGACACCTTTGAGCGAGCTCAACAGGGGCAGATGAATAGTCTGCGGAGTGGAAAGATGGAGGTGTGATACCCATTTGGAACCGGATCAACTATCATTTGGTGGAATTTTATTTGGCAAAATGGTGTTCAAGGCGAAACCTAGCGCACGCAGCTTAACTGTTATTTCAATCGTCGGCTCCAGGAGAGAAAGCGACAGAAGCATCTCAGTAGGTCATGAAGGAACTGCAATGAGTCTAGCATGAAAAATCATTCATATTTTGTTCATGTATCGTCATAATCATGAAGCCTATTTTTAATCAGGACTGTGCCTAGGCATCGTAGATGGCTTCGCCCTCGGCCGCATCCACGCCTTCTCGCACAACTCTCTCCACAGCAGCATCAATCTCTTCGTCACCATCGAGGAGATCAAGCCAAGTGTTCTTCACACCGTCGGCCGCAAGGAGGGCTGAGGCAACCTTGGCGACTGCCTCGCGGCTGATGCCGTCCTTTGATGATAGATGGGCTGTCTTTCCAAGCTCAACCTTGGTAGCTGGGTTGTGGGTAAGGGTTCCAGGGCGGAGGTTGAGTCCGACAAGGGTGGGGCTCTGCTTAGAAACGCGATAGAGGGCCTCATCGGCTGCGATCTTGGCCTTGTAGTAGTTTGCGAGGACGCCATTGTTGACGGTCTTGTGGAACTCATCCCACTCGCCAGCCGGCCACCATGAGGCACCAGCACGGCGAGAGCCAAGGTAGGAGACGAGAAGGAAGCGGGTGATGGTGGGGACTGTGGCGGCGGCATTGATGAAGTGGATTGCTGCGTCGCGATCAATTTTGAAGGTCTGTAGAATGAGTTAGTAGATGAATCGTGATGAGGGGAGCTTAAGTTGGTGCGTACCCGTTCGGGAGCTCCCTTGCCTCCAGCACCTATATCTCATTAGTATCATGATATCAAACTTCACTGAGATCAAGGCTGAGCATACCGGCGCTCCAGGCGATGTAGTCGGGCTTCACCTCGTCCAGGATGCTCTGGGCCTTGTCCTGGGACGTGACATCCTCGATGCTGCGGACGAGAACATTGAGCTTTCCGGGAAGACCGACACCAAGCTTCTCAATGGTTGGAACCTGCTCCGAAGCACGGATGACACTGGTGACGGTCCAGGAGCGCTTAAGCAGGAGGGGAGTAAGGTGCTGAGCGACGTAGCCGTGGCCGCCGAGGATGAGGACGTGGTGAGAAGCCATTTTGTAGTATTAACGAAGTTTCAAGATCCTTGAAGAATTGATGTGATGGAAGATCTATAAGTCGAGGGACAATGCTTTCTTAAATCCGAGAGACTGGTGATTTTAAGCTTCAATGTTTACAGAGGATTGGTCAACTCAATCACGCAAGTGGGTATGACGACATTGGCGAGGGAGCGGGGTTTGTATTTCTAATCTGGATGGGCCATGGCATGATGGGTTCAGGCGGTGATGGAAAACAACAAGCCGCGGTAGTTTGAAGTATCAGTTTTCATGTTTCTGTTTTACTTAGCCAAGACGAATGGGTTGGAAGTGAGAGTTGAGTCGGGTGTAAGTGAGGATGGTGATGGTGGTACAGAGTAGTGAGTATTAGGGCGGGCTAGATGCGTAGTGCTCTTTACCAACAGGAACAGATTTCACATTGAGTGAGATAATCTCTGGGCTGTGAATACGATATAGAAGAGGCTGGAAAGTATAAAACCCGATTCCTTTGTATTTTGACGACTTCATAGTGTTTAAAACTTCTATTTGAATGAAAACCCAGTCTTTAACAATACGTCTCCGTGTAAGACTATCTTATGAGGTAAGGGTGGAGACCAAAGAGTTGATGCGTTCATGGGACAATTCGACACGCACAATAGCGGTATTTGGGTTTATATATATAAAAGCTTCTAGTAGAGGTTTGACAACAATTGGATTCGTGAAAATATCGACTTTCACATGAGTTTAGAGGTGAAACTGTGAGGGAGATCAACACCACGACGCTTCTCGTAGACAAGCGCTTAGTCAGCTGCGAATTCGACGATCTCGGGAGTTGCGGGAGTACATCGACTAAGCCGTTTAGGGGCATCTACTTCTCACGTCTCACTCACTGTTTTGCTATATCAACTGAGTCTCTCCCTTGAATCAAGGCTGCAGTCAAAGCCATTGCTTAGGTGTGGGAGTGTTGAGGAGGCAAATCGACGTCTATTTCTAAGACAAATCGGTTAGCAAAGTCGTACGACAAGGTCTCTTCTACAAATCGCTCAAATCCTGGTTTGAAAGAGAGCTTTAGCAGGGATCACATTACGCCGACTCGGCATTATATGACGCTGATCAGATACTTGTTTGCTGCGAGAAATATGGCAAAGACTGTTTGCATTGTTGGTGGGTGATTTGCACTCATCGAGATTGAGTTCCTCACTGACAATCTATTGATAGGTGCCGGTCCTTCGGGACTCGTTGCAGCCAAGACGCTGCTTCATAACACTGCTCCCGGGGAATTCAAGGTTACTGTTTTTGATGCTCAGAAACATGTTGGGGGTCTCTGGCCGACTTCAAAGGATGACACGGAACGACAGGTTCATCCACTCATGTGGGCGAACCAGAGCAGACACACGGTGCAGTTTTCAGAGCTGGCCTGGGACGATGCGACGCCTCAGTTTCCCCAGGCGTGGATGATTGGGAATTATCTTGAGAAGTATCTTGATCGTTTCCTCACTGGTAACCCGGATTTTGAGCTTAAGCTTGGGACAAAGGTGGAGCGAGCTGAGCGTCCGGAGGGCTCATCCGAAGGCTGGTATATCACCACCGGAACCGAGACGAAGCACTTTGACCATCTTCTTGTGGCATCTGGATTCTTTGGAAAGCCTATTATTCCCGATTGTCTTGCTAAGGAGTCTACCATCCCCATTATTCACAGTAGCAGTTATCGAGACCTGGAGAGCCTCCTGGGCAAGGGACGTCCTGGTGGGGGCAAGATTCTTATTGTCGGAGGTCAAATGTCTGGCGTCGAGATTGCAGGCACAATTGCATCTCATCTCTCATCAGAGATCAACTCGCCAGATGCGTCAAAAATTGCGGATATTGACAAGTACGAGGTTCATAATGTCATCCAACGCCCAACCTGGGTGTTCCCTCTCTTTTCCAGCCCCAAGGTATGCAGGCATCTCAAGATCTAGGATGAATTGCTCACATGTTCTAGTCAACAAAGCTAGCTGCTCCCTTCCTACCCTTCGACTTTGGCTCTTACAACATCAATAACCGCCCTAAGCCATTGGTCAACATGCAGGGGCACATTACCGAGGAGAGAGCCAAGATGCTGAATGGCCTTTACAAGAATGTCATTGGCACTGACCAGTCCGAGTTTTCTCCCCTGCTCAAGATAGACGAGACGAACGATACGGAGCAGCCTTACATGGCCTGCAGTTTCTGGTACTCCGACTTTGTCCGATCAGGAATGATCAAGTTGACAAAGGGCAAAGTGGAGGACCTCGAGGGTTCTACAGCCACTCTATCCGATAGAACCAAGATTGAAGACATTGCTGCGGTGGTCGTGGCTACGGGCTTTGACCCTTCGCCCTGTTTGAGTTTCCTTCCAGACGATGTGCTGAAGACCCTTAAGCACTCGCCCACACATATCGACCAACCTGTCGCTTTGGCCTTTCACGGTACTCATCACCCCGAGGTCCCAAACCTAGGCTTTGTCGGCTTCTATCGATCACCTTACTGGGGCGTCATGCAGATGCAGGCTCGATTTGTGTCGGCACTATGGTCGGACAATGTCACTCCAGGCCGTTCTTCCCGAATTTTCCAGGACAAGCTCCGTGATGACATCTCTATCCAACGAACGCTTGACCTTCGGGACGATCCTCGCACGTCACAGTTCCCTATGGGAGATTACCTTTACCTCATGGACGAGTTTGCCGAGGCTCTTTCAATGAAGATTCAAGAACCCCTGACGCCGCCCGTCCCTAGTCTTCCACATAACGACAAGCCACTGGACATGCTGACTCCAGCGAGGTTCTCGAACTCTAATGACGACCAGGAGTCGAAAGATGCCGCAATGGAGTCTCTAAAGCAGACTCACAAGACAGCGACTGATGGACTCTCATCCCCAAGGTTCGTGGCTCACGCCGTGTTCCGAAGCTTGTTGGGAACATGGAAACTTGAGCGCGACCTGATCAGCAAGCTTCCTACGCACCCCAGTGGCCACTTTAGCGGAACTGCACAATTTCTGCTCCGCGAGAAGACCAGCGATGGTCTCCGATGCGCTGCCAATCCCACAGATGGATCTCCGGAAGTGGATGAGCTCGGTATGGAATACCTCTACATCGAGGAGGGCGAGTTCAAGACAGAGCAGGGCTTCGGCTTCAAGGCGACGCGGCGATATGTCTGGCGATATGACGAGCTCAAGGATGTCCTGAGCGTGTGGTTCGCCAAGCCTGATGACTTGAAGCGAGCTGATTACCTCTTCCACGAGATCGAGTTTACCGAAGCGACTGAAAAGGGATGGGCGGCCAAGGCGGGACACTTGTGTATCGACGACTACTACAATGTCAAGTACAACTTTGCGTTCCAAGCAGTGAACCTGAAGGAATGGGGGATCGAGTACACGGTCAAGGGGCCAAAGAAAGATTACACAATCAGTGGTACTTATAGACGGTAGACACAGATAAGACAAACCCTGCAGTCTTTATAAACTGGCCTACTGCATGCATGCTCTGATCCAAGCGAAGGACCGTTAGCACCGAAGATCCGGCACCGGCATCATCTCCGCGGCCCCGCAGTATTACGGCGACACCCCCCTGACCGGCCCGGAGTTGCCGGGTTGCTCCACCGGGGAGGATGCGTCTTGGTAGGGCTGACATGGGATCTGCGTGATCTGGAGAAATGCAAGCAAGTTGAGTAGGTCTGGGGAAGTGGCGATTTGGATGCAGGTTGCATGAGCTATCTGAGTCCACTTTGACTTTCTCGGATCTTCTAACCGATAGAACTATCAAACAACGATACCTTGTTTCATACTCGAAAGTGCTTTGTTCTTAGACACTCCTCCAACGTGATCATCCTCGCCGAAATCATTTATCGGCCATCTTCTCACTCTTTCCCTCGGAGTGAGATAGCGTTAAAGCTTGAAAGAGAGCATAGCTCTGCCCCAAAGGAACCTGCAGAGACCAGTCTTGATGAGGGGGTTGCATAAGCTTACGGCGAGCCTTCTTAAGAGCGAGTGCTTCGATGGACGAAGACTTGTCGCAGGAAGGGGATGCAGGCTCAGTCGAAGAGCTAGGCTTTAGGTAGGTTCCTGGTTAGCTATCGAAAGATGCCGTCAACGGGATGAGAGTCACTCGCCTGGGTCTTCTGGGTAGCTTTCTTGCCCTTGCATCGCTTCTTCCTTGGGGCATCTTCATCAACGACACTATCTTCCCCAGCCTCATCCTTCGTGGTCGTATGGTTCTGGGCCGACAAGATTCTCCGGGACAGGACCTCCATCTCCCTAACAAACTGCTCCTCTCGCGCCCTCGCGGCCTCGGGGCCGATCATCTCGCGCTCGCCATTACTGGCATACAGGATTTGTTTCTGAATAAGGTCGCCCCATTCAGCCAGGTTTTGGTATTCCTGAATCGCATCGGGGTCTTGGCTTTCTCGTGCCATCTTTTCGCTATAAGCAAGCTTCTTGCGACACGCGATGGCGACTGGGTATGTCATGTAATCTGGTTCGTCTTGAAGGCGAATGCCCTCGCGCTGCACCTTTTCCTGCTAGGCATCCTCCACTGCAGCGTCACAGGGCGATTGTGAGCGGGAGACGAGGCTGGGGAGAGACGAAGTGGGAGTTGAGACCTCCTCGGTCAGGCTTCGGGGGCTTGATTCGTTGGACATGCTGCTAGATATTTGATACAAGCTTGATGGAAAGTGAAGATGGATGATGGATGATGTTTCTTGGTTCTGCTAATGCCTGGAGGAATGATAAACGTTGAGCCTAGGGGATGAGGAAGGGGTGAACACGGCGCCTTGGCTGGGCAGGAGGCACTCATCGGCAGCACTTGCTAGTGACGGCCATGATGAAGCAGGTAGCGAAGATGCCTCTGGTTATTTTTCGTGTTTGACTAAACGCCTTGTGAGGATTGCGAGCTGTGGTGTTGTTGGAGCACAGAGCAAACGAGTCAAGTTGTGCTACTGCATAAATAGCCAGGAATATGCATCAAGATTCATAATTAAAGATATGCAAACAGTCACCTAGACTCAAATCTATGAAACAATCCATAAATCTGGGCCCAGAGATCTCACGACAAGTCGGCGGCTCCCGCAAGGATGCATATCAGACAGCCTCGTCTATGGGATCTTGGCAAGGGCGGGAGACTAGGGACCCGGTGCCGCGGCGCTGCGAGATAGAAGTAAGATTACAAGATTGAAGAGTGGGATGATTTGACATGGCATCACGGGAGAATTAGTGAGGCTCTGCGCTATGAGCGGGCGCGGCGTTCGCCATGCATATCGGCCGATGCCATGAACCCTTCCGTCGGCACCGGGGGGCCGGACGCCGAGCAGGGGGTGTCTTGGTGGACATGGGTTGACGAGTCAGGGGGAGGGAGAGTTCTTTGTATCTGTTGTATAGGGCCGATGTTGGTGATGAGATGCGCAGATTGAAACGTGGTGTTTTGTGCGGGTGAGAGATGGGTTCTGCGTCTGGGGAATCTATCGAGATACGAAGACTCCGGAGATGCAGTGGGTTCCGAGTATCTTGAAAATGTATCGCTATAGAGATTAAACGGGTAGATACATATCGACACACACCAAAGACGGTTGCATCTGTACTCCGTACACCACAGCTTTAACTCAGCCCCCCTGAAACAATCAAGCCAGGACCCCCAAAACCAGTCACAGCATAGCCGAAAACGTTTACTCTGCTCATACGTTGGGCAGCGACTCGAAGAAGGAAAAAAAATATGACTGTGCCAGCCCCTTACGACGCACGCACTCACTTGGCGTCCAAGCTTGGATATTGCATGGCCTGATGATGGAAGCACATGGGCTCTATCATTGGGAGCAGAGGGCAATCTGTGGTGTCGCGCGGCGCCCGCTTGATGAGGGAATGGTTTGTTTTCGTCTTGGGGGGTTGATAGAGGGTTAGAGTATTTATTCTGTGTGTTTCCGCAAAAAGATGAAAGTCAAAAGAGTGAGATCATACTTTCTTGTGGAGAAATAAGGTAGCCAAGAACGAGGCTTCCAAGGTTATCACAAACCCCGCGCAACACCACATACACACATACCTCTCTCATCAACAATTAATACCTCTTTTTCTTTCACTTTTATCCTTGTTTCCTTGACACATCATCATCAAAATGAAGGTCGCCGTCTTTAGCACAAAGCCCTACGACAAAAAGTACCTGTCGGCCGTCGTAGCCTGCGACAAGCACGCTTCGTCGGGCATCGAGCTCGTCTTTCACGAGTTTGCTCTCAACGAGGACACGGTGTCGCTGGTCGAGGGCGCCGACGCCATCTGCGTCTTTGTCAACGACGTTGTCAACGACAATGTCATCTCTGCCCTGTCCGAGTTTGGCGTCAAGGCTATTCTCCTCAGGTGCGCTGGCTTCAACAATGTCGATCTTGACGCTGCTCAGCGCATGCGCATCATGGTCGCCAATGTGCCCTCGTACTCGCCCGAGGCTGTTGCCGAGTTTGCTGTCGCTCTGATTCAGACTCTCAACCGCAAGACGCACCGCGCCTACAACCGTGTCCGTGAGGGCAACTTTGCTCTTGATGGCCTTCTCGGTAAGACGCTGTGTGGTAAGACGGTCGGCATCGTCGGTGTTGGCAAGATTGGTCTTGCTACCGCCCGCATCATGAAGGGCTTTGGCTGCACCCTCCTCGCCTATGATCCCTTCCCATCTCCCGCCTTTGAGGAATATGGCGAGTACCGCGATCTTGAGGATCTTCTCCCCGAGTGCGACATTGTCAGCCTTCATTGTCCCCTCATGGACCAGACACGCCACATCATCAATGCTGAGAGCCTTGCTCTGATGAAGGAGGGCGCCATGCTGGTCAACACGTCGCGAGGAGGCCTCATCGACACCGAGGCCGTCATCCAGTCGCTCAAGACCAACCACATCGGAGGCCTCGCACTCGACGTGTACGAGGCCGAGGGTGAGCTCTTTTACAACGACCACTCTTCGCACATCATCCAGGACGACATGCTGATGCGTCTCATGACGTTCCCCAACGTGGTCGTCTGCGGCCACCAGGCCTTCTTCACCGAGGAGGCCCTCACCGAGATTGCCGAGTGTACCATCAACAACCTTGAGGACTGGATCACGCACAAGACGAGCAAGAACTCTCTGACCAAGGACCTCAAGATGCGCCGCCGCGATTCGCTGCCCGTGCGAGCCATCTAGAGTCTTTTTCTCTTTTCTCTCGTCTCGACCTTGTCGTCGTACTCCTTTAGCCCACACCTTGGCTTATACATTTCGTGATCACATCACACCACAACCAAAACAAGACCCAACATACACAATCCCTGCCACCCCCTTACCTTGTTCAAGTGGGCCTCGCCACTGGATGCCGATGCCACCTTGGACGCACTCGCGGATCTCGTTCGGCGTTGCCGAGCATTGCCGGACGAAGCCCGCCCGCATGAACACCTCCTTTATCCCCTGGCAACGCGACCGTACCGCTGGGTCTAGTCATGGGAAGCAACACGTGATCTCTTGTACTTTTGCTTTTGACATTTTTCTTGTTTTTTTTTTGCTTTTGTTTTTTATGACTGAGATACGACGACAAAATGGATTATAGAAGGCTTTGCTTTGTATGAAGCTTGCTGCAAATGGTCAGCAGGCTGGATGCTTTAGATCAAGGGGGAATATGTGAAAATGAAGCACTCACGCACACACTGGTCGGAGCGCTTTTCAAAAATATTCTTTATATAAATCGAGGGTATTATGCTAAATATCCAAGTAAACGCTTTTAAACGACGTGTTTCCTCCACCAGGGCATAACCAAAGCCTATGTATGTAAACCAAGCCTGTGCATAACCCAGCCCATTACCACCTAGCCCCTTGGCTATTTTCTCTATGTCGCACCACCCAGTCTATGTCTATAGTTGTTGTTGAAAGTATCCATTATGGATAGTAAGGAATGTTTGTTGTATGTATTACTCGCTTCGCTTAAGGGTTACTCACGTAACTCCTGGCGCGTCGCAAGTCTTCGTCGTTCTCAGTATCGGTACGGGGAGAAGCACCGCCAGAGGTGGCACCACGGCCCTTGGCCTTTTCAATATCGTCGGTCTCGTCTTCGTCACTGGCGTAGGCGTACTTGCTGCGCTGACGGATCCTGGCACCGAACTTCCAGAACATGAAGGGGATGGCACAGCATGCGAGACTGATAAAGGCAAGGAGAGTGGAAGCCCACTGATCGTTGAGACGGTCGTACATTTGCTCAGTGAACAGGACCACGGCGGCACCCCAGAAACTTCGGATACAGGTCTTGGCTGCAAGGGCGGAGGCGGCCTGGTGCTGGTAAGAGTCGACTAGGTAGTTGTTGGCGGCGTTGTACAGGAAGATGAAGCCGAAACCAACAGGGAAACCACCCATGGCGGGACCAGCCCAGGAGAGGTCGGCGTAGGAAGTCCAGGCAAAGATGAAGAGACCGATGGGAATGCACCAACACGAGATCATCATGGGGATCAGACGGACCTCGGCGGGAGGGTGACCGTTGTGCTTCTTAACGAGGGTGAGGTAGTGCTTGTTGACAAATGGAGAGCAGAGAGCGGAGAGGACGACACCGACGGCGACGGGAATAAACATGAGACCAGTCTTGCCGGAGGAGTAACCCTTGCCCTTCTGGTAGATGATGGGGAAGGCGACAAAGAACATGTAGAGAAGACCGTACAGGACACTCATGTAGAGAGAGATGAGGAAGACGATGAGCTCGCCAAACAGAAGCTGGAAGGGTCGGATGAGGAAGATGCGGAGACGCTCAGAGAGAGGTCGCATATCCAGCTCTTGCTCAGTGACGTGGTCGGCCTCGCCAGTCTCCTTGCGGAGCTTGGCAGCGCGACGGGCGAGAATGGTGGGTGTGTAGGTCTCGGGGACGGTAAAGGTGATGAGGACCCAGACGATACCGGCGAGGATAAGCTGGATCCAGTAAAGCCAGCGCCAGCCAGCAGCATCAGAAAGGAAGCCACCAACGAGGGGACCGACTGTAGTGTTTGTTAGTGAGTGTTAATCTTGAGTTTGTAGTTGTTACTTACTGGCTGGACCGATAAAGGGGGCGGCGGAAAAGGCAGCCATGGGAACACCTCGCTCCTCATTTCTCCAAAGATCGGCAAGTGTACCACCGACAAGAGTCATGGGAGCAGAGAATGCAATACCGTCTATGGCACGGCAGACGAGAAGAGTCTCTATGTTCTTGGCGACGGCGCAGGGGATGATGAAGATGACGGCGATGAGAAGAGTAGATGCGCTAAGACATGTTAACACCACAACCTTTTTACTCAAGAGATGGGAAAGAACTTACTAGATGACTCTTCGACCGTAAATCTCAGACAGGGGAGCAAAGATCATGGGACCAACACCGAAACCCACGACAAAGAGCGAAACACTCACGAGGGCGAGCTCATTGCTCACGTTGAGATCCTCAGTGACGCCCTTGATATCGGCAGTGATGACTGAAGAAGCAAAAGCGACGACGAAGCAGGTAATAGCGACACACATGGTGCACCACCACTTGTAAGCCTTGCTCCAGTTCTTTGGATTCTCAGGATCATTCGGCGTGAACGTAACAAGCTTGTACCTCCTCTCACCCTCCTTCTGCCCGGACTGTCTAGCAACAGAAGGCGGCTCAACAGGACCTGGGATACTACCACTGGGGACCTCGACGCGGTA